CGCGTAATTTCACAACAGTTTATTACAAGGTACAGTCTTTTCTACAACAACCATGTAGATTAAGTTTTAATGATGGACTAGAACGTAGCAAGGACGATGTGAATCTTCTTTGTCCGTGCACTTGACAGTAAAAGCTTTGTATTTACACAAACAAAACGTCTCAATTTTCGGTTGAGCGTTCTCTTTCGCGACATTCGACACGTCAATTATTCGAGGCATCTATACGTTCGAAACCCACGATTGGCCTCGATTCATTGTATTATAAGTGGGAGATGTTAACCTCAAAATAATATTTTTGATGCTACGTTCAGGATACGATTGGAGGAGGTTGGGGTGCAGCGACGCGCGGCCCAATGCGCAAACTCCTCCGATCGGGTCCGATCATGGCCGAACTATCCCAGACCTTGCTCCGGACTGACAATAGGTAGCTATGGTATTATGCTTGCTCTATATACTATATTTGTTTCACACCTGTGCAAGCTATATTGCGTCGTATATAGTTTTAAATAGAAGCTTAGACAATAGAAGATAGACTTACCTGTCATTAGACTCTTTAGAGGATGCTGTCGTTAGTGACCTAATAGCCGCTTTTACAGTTTATCCTAACACAGCACGTTGATATTTACCATCAAGATAGAAGAGTAAATATATACAATTGTATAGAGTTACTGAAACCAATATTATGGAAGTTTTTTGCCATAATACACAACCCCAGATCATTAATGAATTTGCCATTAAAATCCCGTAAAAAACAAAAGTAAGAAAATTGAATAGATTTTGCTGTCTCGTCGATTTGGTTGGCTTTACTCAGTTTTTTTCTTGGAAAATTATCTAAAGAAAATTTATCTTAAACGTACAAATATTCGTAAAAAATATACACTTTCAATAATTAATAATCATGCAATAATTAAGCCACTCAAATAAAAAACTCATTAAATGCATAAAATATAAAACATATCTTTTTTTTAAATTACAAAACGTGTCTTACACAAGTATTTTCCATTACTGGTCGCTTGAACGTCTAATTAGAAACATTTTAAAAAAGCTTCCATATCTCGTTCTTTTTTTAAAATTGAAGAATATTATATAATAACATTTCTTACTTGGCTTTTTCTATTATTTTCAAAATTTAATCTGAATTTTATTTTGTTCAAAATGGGCAAAAACAAAAGTTGTGACGCGTGAACTAGGCAAATAATTGTTAATTTTCATTAATATAGAGACGGTTTATCTATATAATGTAAAGTTAATAATTCTAACGCACTGAATATCATTACGTAAGTACTTACCTTTATCGACTTTTGTCCATACGCGAGGCTTATAAAATTTCCAGAATGTAAAATATTGAAATTAAAACCTATTGCATAATAATTCACAATAAATACCTGATCTAAACTAAAGAATCTTTATTTTAGATTATAGCTATTATGTATTGTGAGCCTATACTGTCATTAATATCGTTGACCTTTATTCGGTATTGATACTACTTAAAAATAATAGTATTTTTTCTGTGCTAGTAGATATCGCATCTTCAAAATTAATCGAATTTATAATTACAATAAACCGCACGAACCGTTCTGGATAAAAAAGCGGGAAATAAAATAAACTTTTTTTTTTTATTAAATGTCATGTCGTTGACTTGAATTTCGAATTCCGTCCAATTCATAATAGTGTGGAATTTGCAACTAGTCAGTTCTAAATAAAATATCGAAGACGTCATATTTCTATATAAACGTATATCTATTAATCAAATCGATGCCTACAAGGAATAACTACTTTTGACTTATTAACGTAAACTTATCGTGTGCTTGGGTACCTTTGTCCCATCCATGTTCCTGTCGTGAGCAGTTGTGTTTGCATGACTGTGTTTCAGTATAGTGTAAGAGTGGGATCTGGCAAAGCATGAAGGGTATTATAGGTAGTATATAATTCATAGACTTAGTATGTATAATCGGTTATGTTCAGGATACTGTTCATGTCTATAAGCGACCGTTACCACTTCCCATCAAATGGGCCGTCAGCTAGTTTGCCATTCTAATTTCATAAAAAAAATACTTATTTTACAAATAAAAATCAGTTTCTTTTACATGTATTATTTTGTTACAATGTTATTTCTAGCAGATATCGAAATTAATGAAATAATATAAATTCATGCGTCAGTTCTTTGATAGAAAGCTAATTATGAAACAGAGATCGACACGAGATATAAATAATTAGCAAAACAATTTACTTCTTGTTGTAGATACAAAAGTATGTATATCTATTGCAGTTTACCAGAATCTCAATTAGATTTGTGACCAAATCTATTCCTTTGTTTTTATAAAGCACTTACTATCTCAAGTACTTCAATTAGTATTTTACATTCTTATATATTTAGTAAGCAATCTTGTAATTTTTATTTTATTGAAATAACAGTGTATTAAATGAACAATTATAATAAAATATGACAGTGTGCGACTTTCACTCACACTGTAAATTTTACGCCGTCTTTCTAGGTATCGTAAAACTTAGGGAACCGTAAAACTTACGGAAGCGGAAAAACCGAAATAATAAGCTTATTAAGAGGTAACTTCGTTATATAATAATTAGTTATATACCTAAATACTTTATGGATAAACCCGAATTAGGTGGGTTCTGTGCATATACTTATATGCGTACATTATATACTCGAAAATCATTACTCTTCCTCAGCAATCAGGTAAAGGGTTCGATGCGTCAGGTAAAGAATATTACGAGTACTTAATTTAGAATACACGTGTTCGCAGCTACTAAAAGGTCACATATATTTCATATATTCTTTATTACGGTTGTAAATTACAAAGATAAAGCAGTTATAAATATTATGAGCAAGGGTAGGCTTATCTAAAAAAGAGATCTCTTTAGCCAACAAAATACAGTGATAAATAATGTAATAGATTTTTGATAGTTATATAAACAAAATATGGTTAAAAATTTATAATTTCTCTGTATATTTAATTTATCTTCATCTATTATTGAGTTTCACAATCTTTATAAAACTGTTAATGTAGATATAAATCGGTGTTTTTAATAATATAATAGGTAGTATGGAGTTACAATTATTTTATTTTGACGAGCCTGTTTTTTATTCCTTTGGTTATGGTTTGAATAAATATAATTTTTTTTCAATACTGTTCAATGTTATTCAAGTAAAATTTTGTCAGATTTTGTATTAAAGAAATAAAGAAAAACACTTTCACTTTATACAACTGTTTATTCCTCTGTCTTAACACTATATGACACAATTTTGAAGAATTCAACGTGAAATATTAGACGGTTTGTATATGAATATTATTATGTATAGTAATGTCTTGAACATTACTATAAAAGTAGTAATCAAGAAGCGACTTCATTGCTGACAAAATTAATATGGGATCAGCATAAGTATTCAATTATTTAAATCGCAAAAACTATTAAAAATAGAATAGAGGAATTATTAAAACTAATTTAGAATTTGTGATTGTACTGCATAATATGAGCATATACACAGAAATTACAGACGAATTTAGAACATCCTGTTTTTAGAAATCGCGAAGAATGAGTAGTGAGCACCGATTGAAATTACTTTTATAAGTAACACGATTCACAAAGGTAATATAGTTCACGAGACATAGTCTACTAAGTTGAGTTTATTTGGATTCACAACTGTTCGGATAAAACTTCAAGAACAACTTTGTCTGCTTGCTAAGACTTCTGCCTATCATAATTAAATTTAGCTAACATCTTTGATTTTATCGTTTTTAGTCATCATATATATGACTTAACGAATTATATAAAAACCATATTTGATGAATAATACCTGTAACGATTTGCATGCTATTAAATATAGCGAAACATACTGAACATTAAAAAAAAAAACTGTAACATCATTTTATGTAACTATGTTATGTAACTATATATATATATATATATATATATATATATATATATATATATATATATATACGTATATATATAGAGAGAGAGAGAGAACGAAAGGGTGGCCTATTCTATGCCGGGACCACACAACCAAATAAAGTTGATAATAAACAACAACAATTTTTAAAAAAAATCTCTAGGGCAGTTCGCTGCAACTCAGAATACGAGTACTGATATTTGTTAGACTTTCTACGAATAATATATTCGGCAATACGCTGAATACCGTATTTCTGCACGTGTCTTAGCCGAATAACCGTATATTAGGCAAAAATATTCAGCCGGCGCGTGGCGGGAAAACTTGAACCTATCGACATGATTGTTTTCCCCTCGTTTATTTAAATGTATTAACCTACCTCCTACGCTGCGCCGCTTTACGTGCTCTGTTGCATATATAATTTTTTCTTTTTTTTTGTTACCATAATCTTCCAATTATGATTTAAGTGCATAAATATTTATTTTGTAGTTTTTGTTAAATAACGTAATATAGAATTTGAATATGTACCTATAACTAAAAAAAACGTATTCTTATAAAATAAATCAATATTTTCACTTTACTAATTATATGTAGACTAAACATATTACTTAAATATTTATATACGACCGAATAGGATATAAACTTTTTATATTCGGCCAAAAAGTATAAAAGTAGCCTAATAGGCCGTATATCATATAATAACCAAGTATTCGTTACATGACTAATATATATTGTTTCTTGCTGTTTTGAAAAATACAAATGAATAATACTCTGCATTAGGCATGGGTAATATTCATCCTTGCTCCTATATCTATTATATACCCAACATATATTTATTGGGTACCTTTGGACAATGATGGCGGAAAAAAAGAACATCGTATTCATTTCGATCGGGTTCTTCATTTCAATATTATATATTGGATAAACAACATTTAATCTATCCGTTATTGGGCCAATATTGTAATTACAATATATAGATTTTGTTATTATTACCCACTCCTAATATATACTACTTCTATTATTTGATTTGTATTTGAATCCAAATCCATGCAAAAAAAATTAAACATAAGGACCTAAAAACAGTACTAACCTCGCTTGATGTTAAGTAGCAAATTCTGGAGTCCGTACTATCTATGGAAGCTTGCTGAACGATACCATAACGAGTTGATTCTCGATCACTTGTGTACTCTGACCGAACACTATCTTGGCGGTCAAATACACCCCTGGAACAAATATAATAAATATACAGTATAGTTAAAAAAAAAACACATTTGAAACTTTAAAAGCGTATATGATATTATTTTAAGTATTATTAGGATTCCATAGTTAATAATTATGTTATCGTAATGTATTAAATTTGATCAGACTCATGATGGTTCTATTTTTGCCTTTTAGTTGCGAAATACTAAATTTTTCATAAAAGTAAAGAATAGAATTAATAAAAAAATCTTGAAAACTACAATAATAGATGGTATTATTCTAAAGAATTCATATTTATTTATTAACTTATTATTACAGCAGTTATATACCAATTTATGAAATATAACAATAGTGATGTATAAAAGGCGGTCTTGGCGTTAATCTCTTTTGGACAATCTCTGCGTGGAGGAAAAACGATAGTATCTTGAATATGGCGCACGAAATGGAGTAGAAATAAATATACATTCTTTTGCAGAAAACTGGCAATGATTTTGATAACTAAGCCAAAGTAAATAGATACCTACTGTAGGTATATTATTATTTTTTTTACAATAATAATACAGTAAGTTTATACGCGTATATTCTTCGTGTAATGAATTACTAATAATTGTCATTTTTTTAATTAATCCAAAATAAAAGTGAGTGCGTAAGTAGAAGCGTTAGATTCTTAAATACAAGTGGTCAATATAATGATTATTAAGGGCTTCAGCTATACTCTTAGGATTGGTTATAACTTTTTCATCTACTATTAATTGTGATATGCTTGACTCTGGGTAATTAATTTTTGACTTGTCTATTATACTCCAAGCTGTCTTATTTTTATTATATGATTTTTGTATGTAGTGATTATTTTGCGCTTTTTTCGTCAACTTAATAATTTTACGTAGTCTTTTTGAATAAATTTTAAATAATTGTCTATTTGTCTCATTTAGTAATTTCCTATACTGCCAAAGCATATGTCTTTTTCGTTTGCAACAGTTTATTATTCCTTTTGATATCCAACTGGGACGTTTTACTATTGACATTTTGATAATTTTATTTAGAAATCACAGGTCATAGAATTATAAACATATCAAAAATTCACTAAAAGCCTCATTTGGTCTTTTATTGTTATATAAGTCATTGAAATTTAAATTTATAAGCCATTTGTTTTTTATTTTTTTAATATTTTTATAACAAAATTTAGCTAAAAGTGCTTCTAACTTATTGAAAAAAAAATTTAATTTATTTGTATTATTATTGGGTACTCTATATATACACAGCACAATCATATCATGTTCAGGCAGTTCGATAGCTAAACATTCTATAACATTTGCAATACTAAAGTCATTGGTGTCTATTGTAGTATATCTATGATGATTTTTAACTAAAATACATGTACCCCCGTTACGATATTCTCTGAAGAAATATGCAGCTAACCTATAGTTGGGAATATTAAGTTGATCATAATCACCTTTTTTCATATTATGTTCACAGATACATAATACATTAATTGACTTTTTGGTTCGAGATAATTTATCTAGATTTACGTTTAATAACTCCAATTTGGATATTAAACCATTAATATTTTGGTGCAAAGTTAATAAGCTAATATACAAGAAAAAATCATGGTTTCCATTATTTAGTTCATCATTATTATCTTGGTTATTCAAAATTTCATTTATCTCTACATTATCTATATTATCATTAATTATTTTAGAAACATTACTCTTAAATATAGTTACATTTGTCTGTATACTCTTTTCTGCAAATGATAAAACCTTTTTTTGTGAATGTTTAATCGCATTAATATTTTGTTTTGAATAACGGTCTAATTTAATTTTATAGTCTAAAGCTAAAATTTCTTTTAAAATACATCTTGATAATTTAAGAGTAAAGAAGTGTTTTTTAGGAATTGTTCTACTGTAATCCATATCAATATAAATGGTATTTCCAAATCTATTAGAGATATGTCTTAGTAAGTAATTTAGAGTTTGTTCGCAAAGGTTTTTGTTATAAGGCATTTCTGGTATAATAATGTTAGTATTTTTCATTTTATTTAACCAACTGCAGAGATAATTACGAAAATGCAAAGGGTTTTTATCATTGATGCCTCCTATAAAAATTATGTAGTCATCCATTGTTAGTTTTTCCATGTACGATAATGTAATGTAACTTTTCTCTTATTAGTCGTTGGTCTATTCTGGTAAGTCAAGTCTGAATTGTAGCTATATTTTTTATCGTCTTTTTTATTGCTGCTTTTCTTTATTAATCTAGTAAGTCCTTCATTTTGTTGTATTTCATTTTTCTTGTTTACTATTATTGTGTCATACTTATTTTTAGCTTGTCCTATTGTTATAGATGATGTCTGTTCTACTTCATTATTATAAATATTTATGTATTTTTTTTCTATGTTGTCATCCATAACATTTTTGTTCATGGATGCATTCAGTATTTGTTACTTTGTCAACTATTACGGTTTTACCCTGTATTTGATTTAAATAAGTAGGTGAAGGAGAAGGCTCTGGCGTACTAAATTTTTTTGCTTAACTTTTGTCTTTTTTTTTTCTTGATGTTAAAGGTGTTGTTTGGTATGTAACTTTTTTATAGGTATCAATTACTTTGTAGCATTTCTCTAGTTCTAGTTTTAAATTATTGTTTTCGAGAGTAAGGTTGTCAATTTCTAAATTCGCTAATTGTAGCTCTAATCTGAGTTTTTCTAATATAGATTTATTTGTGACTAGGCTTGTATTATTATATAATGTACTATTTGGTTCATTCATCATGGTGCAGTCATATATACTAGAGCCTGTAAGATTATTTAAGTAGGACGATTTTTAAGGCTTTCGTTGGGTAACATTTTCATCAAAACTCATATTGATAATGTAAAATTAAAATTATTTCTCAGCGTCATAAAATGTAATTTTTATAATTTTCAATTGATTCACCTTAATGGAACGTAATAATTAGATCGCCAAAATTGAAGTATATTTTTTTAAAGTTATAATGGTTATAATGGAACGCACCCTTTGAATAAATATTCACTTCTGTCATCTGTGGTCATTGCAGGTACTTTCTTATTTTTAATCTGTAGTTGTAGGAGCTATAACTTTGTTCACATCTAGTGCAATGTCTTTGTCTTAACTTGCTGTCAGTGTTAATTATCAATAATTACAATGTCACGAATCAGCTGTTACTGTGTCGTGATTGGTTTTGTATTCTAATTACATAAACTAATTGAAAGCATTCCTGCTATGTGTGTGTGTTTTTAATACGTAACTGCTATTTTTCTATTCATCTAAATTACAGAAATAATACCTAGTTATTTCGCTCACCAATGATTAGGAAAATCTTACCAATCCTTTTGGTTTTAAGGTTAGTTCTTTTTTTGTGTATTATATCCTTTTTCCATAATGTTTAGATTTATTTTGAATTAATAAACGACTAGCACTCTATTATAATGTTTATTTTCGCACGCACACACGCACACAATTTAATGTACAATTACATAAGAGAAGGAGTTTTTATACTATCGTGCATGAAAATTTTGCATTATCATGTATTTGTCAAAGAAACTGTTATAGACTGCTATAGCACGGTCCACCTATCTTATAATCACTATCGAATAAATAAAAACTACGCAAAAACACATCTTACAATAAAAAAGCTAGGTCTTTTACAATATCTGTTAATATCGTTATTTTTGACAATGGGATATTATAAATAGTTGTACAACAGTATGACTATTAATTCTGCACAATATTGATAACGCTACATAGTTGCATAGATTAATTTTCTTAGTCAATATAAGGGCAATGTTAACTTTTAAATAGTGTAGCGATTATTTATTTTATTAGGAGGTTAATCTGTAGCTCAAGAAGTAATTAAGTGTATAATAAAATAAAATTGTAAATTCAAGTTAAGTATAATTTCATTCTTACCGTTGTTCGAAACTGTCAGCCCTGTTGCTTCTATAGCCGGAGTCATTAAGGCTGCCCTCGTGTCGGAGACTAGGTAAAGAGTCCCATGGGGACCGCCGCGGGCCCGGCGGAGGCGCCCCACGCCAGCCATCCGAATGACGGTACCATGCTGCACGAGCCGATTCACCAATACAGGACGCACAACGAGATGCACTCACGAAACTGTGTAACAAAAACATTAAAATAGTAAACATTTTACTTCACTAGGTGTTATTTTGCGGAAGTTGATATCACTGGTCAGTTGATTAGAATTATTAGTGGAATTAAACAAAATAATTTTATTCAACTAACGATTAAAATAATAGCTTGTATCATAAAGGAAAATAATAATATTTTTACGGTGGACAGTGTTATTTGGAATTAAATGTGGAGTTAAGCCATTTAGTTTACCGCATTTCAATTTTTTACTTAAAATACGAAGTAAGGTTTGCAAGCCCGCAGTAATTTTTTTGCAGCTAAAAATTTACTATTATAATGGAATCCCGTTGTAATTTTCGCGACAGATTTAACCCATAATCTACCGAGTGTTCGGCTTTTTTAATACTAACTTTGCTAATTTTTTTCAAGTGTTTATTTATACTTTTGCACACATTGAAAAATGTCTACAGGGCGGACTTAATGCCTGATGGCATTCTGTTTAAAGTAATTTTGATTATCTTATAATTTAAATTTTTAACTTCTAGAAGGTATCTTTTATTATTATTTTTGAATTATTCTTAAACTAGTAAATAAATATGCACAATTTTTTTTTATTTTCGTATATAATAAATACATATACAGATAAAAATTTCTAAATTATAGAATTAATTAAATATAAATTATTTAACCAAACTAAATATAAATAATTATAGATATTTAAAAGTCAAAGAGATAATTTACTTTAAACATTACTATATTCATTAACTAAGAATCAACAGAAATCAGCACATGACATATTACGAGAACTTTTGTTATTTACACACATATTTCTATCTACTTAACGTATTTCTTGCTGCTAAATTATTCAAAAATTCTTCACGCAGAATTAATGCATCAATAATATAATTCTATACATCTTTTTGACATATAAGAAATCGCTGGAATACAATAAAGTGCAATACGGAATTGCAAACCTTAATGGGAACAAAAAACTTTTTGAACTTTGACTCCAGTAAAATTTTGTATAAACAAAAGAATTCCTAATAAGTTTAGATGTTGGTCTAAAAAAAATTTTAGGATGATGTTTTCGAAAAATTCAAATGCTTTCATGAAATAACTTTTCACAGAAAACAAAGCAATTAGTTTAGTAGTGACATGTTAGTGTCATATAGATAAAGTTACTTGTGTTATCTATTTCCATCTATGTCTGTAAGTGGAACAAAAAATTCTAGAGTAATAGAATGGATTCGACATATATCACGCGAGGTAAAAATTTTGCGACGGTTGACATTCTACTTTTTATCCCCCCGAGATATAGACGCGCCAGATGTAATTCTAGAATATATTATATATATAATGTAAGATGGTATATTTTAGAAATTGAATAATGATAGCAAATTGTGTATATTAAAAATAATATCGCAATTTACTCTTTTTGTAATAATTAACATGCAGCATTATTTTTTGTCTGATTAATTATACTACTTTTAATAAATTAAATAATAGATAATATTACTATTTGTGTACCTAAGGTTATTTAAGGTGGACTAATTTATTCCCCTTGTCATTACTCTTTAATATATAATTAAGATAATTAACTTTCTTCTACAATATTATGTCGCATAAATGCTATTAATATTGTAGTATACACCTGATGTATAGATATCAATACGCTACTTAATAATATAATTTATTCAATTAATAATAATTTTGTATAAGTGTTTACTTACAAATGTCTTATTACTACAAGTAAAATGGGTCTTTTTGTCTCTTGGCATTATTAGAATAAAATTTGACAGAATAAAGAACTTTATATAATATAATTAAAGAAGAACATGTCATAACAGAGAAAAAACATATCTTTACGCATACGAAGTTGTGGGTACAGCTAGTTTTAAATTTTTTATTATAGTCCATATATAAATATAATAAAAAAATAAAACTAAAAATTATTCAACTATATAATATTATTCAAAATATTTATATTTATACCTTTTTTTTATAAATACGTCTATATTTATTAGTGTATAGATATTGTGAATTGGTGGAAATAAAAAAACAACAGCTAATTAACAAAGAAATAGAAACAGGCTAAACAACATAACACATCTAATATCCTGAATAAAGAGACGCATAAATCTTATACTTTATAAATATAAGAATACCAAATAACAATAAAATATATACATATAATACATACATATAAATACATAACCAAATATACATACACACATACAAGAAAACTAAATTATCGTATCTGCAGAATAACCCCAGAATATCTTAAGACAGAATTTTAGGACGTTTACTGGAGAGGACATTTTCATATCTGTTGGTAGAGAGTGCAAGAGGCGGACAACTTAAACTGTAAAAGATTTTGCAAATCGGTGAATAGTATGGACAGGTAACGCTAGAGGCAAATTATGTACTTATATTCAAAATAATCGGCTAAATATTTTTCATGATGTAATTACAAATTCACCTCGTCGTATCTTTTGAGTGCGTTCACTTAGAAATTTAGACAGACTTAGAACTTTAGAAATTTTTACATTTAAAGCATTGTAAATTTGAATATGTGATAGTAATTTGAACTCAATGCCTGCATTAATGAGAAAAAGTTTCTTGACAGATGGATGGATAACAAAATGATCTATAAGGATTCCATATATCATTTTGAGGTATGGGACCCTAAAAAATTAACTTATGTAATTATTGTTAAAAAATATTAAATTTAGCAGATTAAAAATTTAAAATTATTAGCTTTAAAATTTTTGATCATTAATAATTTTTTTTTCTTTTTATTTACGAGTTAAAAGTAATTCTCAAAAACCAAATTGTTAGTTGTCAGGTTATCAGTTGGAATCAGTTAGTGAATCTGGTATATAGATATTATTATTTTTTATAATAATTTCAAACTACGTTCTCTCTATAGATCAATTTAGTTTGTAAATATTTACTATAAAAACAAAGCAGAATACATAACAAGCAACTAAACTTAAACTAATTTCAGATAGATGTTCTTGAAAGTCCCATTAGGATAACATTGTGCCGTGTTAGATTAATGTAGTCGATTTCAAACCCATTAAACGATAGGTATAATAGAATTATTATGATTGAGGCGTGCGATGGATTTATTTGCAGTTAGTAGCTCCAGATTTAGATATTTAGGAATTTCATAAGACATTTAATGAAATAATAACAATAGTAGTAAATAATATCAGATAGTAATTATAATTTATATAATTGTATTTATACATAAAGAGTTAAATTAATACTATTAACATTTTTTTGATGTAGTACTCGTATTGTACCATTACTAGTAGTATAGTAGTAGGAATAATTTATGTAGTTCTACCAGCGAAATTAATTAAGCATTTGCTTGAAGAAACTCGAATGAAAAACAAATACTTAATGAGATGCTAATGATATTGATTTTATTCATAAATTAAGGACTACCGAGATTAATAAGTGTATTCAAATATATCATAACATGCAGAGAAGTAAAGTAATTTCAAAATTATTTATAAGTTTAACATAAATGAACTGTCTTTTATAATGAAAAGAAATTAATAGATTAAAAAATATTTGGACTCGACTTCAAACAGATTTTATCCTTTAAATTAAAAGTAATATCAGTTTATTTTTCGCTTTTTGGTTTTTGATTCATCTTTTCTTTTAAATGGATTATTTTTTTTAGGTTTGTTTATTTATATACACTTTTTAATGCATATAATATATAAGCAGTGAGTAAAAAATTATTTCAGATAATACTATCAAACTGTCATTATATCATAGAGAGCATATTATAATATACGTATTTTGTTAATCAATACAGAGTCTTGAGGCTTTCATCATCATCTTAGCAGCCTGAAATGATGGCTCCCAATTGCAATCACCCAAATAACTTGAAAGAACCTACGAAACGGTCTATATGTACTTATAATACTCAAGGCATTATCCCTTAACTCCTAACTATTAGGGAGTTAAACCTTCCATCATCAGCTTATCTAAATATCTTAAGGGAGTATAACAAATAACGAAGTTTACATACCTATAGTATTTAAAGAATTATCCTGTAACTACTAACCATTGAGGATATGTGCCTTCCATCATCAGCTCAACGACTTGAGATGATTACTACCAGATGCAAATATCTAATTAATTTTTAAAAAAATGTGAGACAACATATACAACTTGAGGGTTGCTTTCGAATACCCTGAAATCCCATCTTCAGATCCTGACTTGGTGATAATGGTGGTCCCGCAGGAGTAAACTCTTTCAAATACAAAAAGAATTCTTAAAATCAGTCTACATTTGACGAAAAAATTGGTGTGCATACATAAAAAAAATATACAGTGGATTATAGAACTTCCTTTTTTAAATCGCTTAAAAGCATTTGTCGACTGATGCCATTATACTAAATGAAACAATATATCCATATTTTACCGAGTAAGTCGGTTATAAAAGTTTAAATGTAAGTAATTAAATAACAAATAAACGCTTCAATCTAGTAAATATCTAATATATAAAATTCTCGTGTCACAGTGTTTGTTACCAAACTCCTCCGAAATGGCTTTACCGATTTTTATGAAATTTTGTGTGCATAATGGGTAGGTCTGAGAATCGGCCAACATCTATTTTTTATACTCTTCAATGATAAGGGTGACCCACCCCAAAATATTTTTTTTTATTTTTTTGACAATTTTTTTTATTTTCATTTTATAATGATTGAGCATTGAAAAATACATACAACTTCAAATTTTGACCCTTTTACGATCAACCCCTGTTTTTTAATTGCGGTTTTTATATTTCGCAATAAGTGGTAAAACAACGTTTACGGGGTCAGCTAGTATTTTATAAAAAATAATATCTGTGAAACGCCAGCAGCGTTAAAAATCAATGAACTTGGGGAAGCTTGCTTGGAATTATTTTTTGGTAATAGCGCACAAATATTCAGTGTAATATCAACAACATCATAAATTATTTTGCCTTCTTCAATATTCATAAAATTGCTTGCTACACGATTGGCTAATTCTGTCCCGGGAATGGGTATACCCCAGGGCATTCGCGACGAAAAACGCTACGAAAATAACTGTGATACGATACAAGAGTAGGTAGGTACGATCAATATCTACTCGTACATAGTATGTCTACTAGCGAAAATATTGTGCCCCACAAAGACATGTTCACAGTTGAAAGATGAAACTAATGGATCCGGATATAAATATAATATTATTTTCGAAAATTTAAATATACGATAAAAAATTTAATATACATTTTTTAATATACGATACTGGATATTGGTAATTTAATGAACTTATTTTGTTTGTCGTTTCCGACAACTGTTTCAACTTCACCAATGTCTTCACAGGCTCTGCGTGATGTAACGCGTAGTGCAAGGCGAGAAGCTGCGATGTAAGCACCGTACTCACCCTTAAGAAGACTTCCGTATGAAGTTGAAACAATTGTTGGAAACAACAGACAGAGTAAGTTCATTAAATTTTTTTTATAATGCTTAATATTTGGTTTACCGGAATAAAAACTTGCCTGTCTTTTTTTGCATCCCTAATAGTACGTATATATCTAATTTTATGATTATCGTTTCCAAGCGTCCAGATATTGACGTAATTATTTTATTAATTAAGGCTATTTAAAACAAAAATTTTGCTGTACAAAAAATGGTAACTTTACTAATAACAAAATTAATAATGAATGTAAGTGAATAAGAGTAACCTTTACAATTGATAGAATTGCAAAAGGAATTATCATAAAATCAATACACAATATTTTTTAACACTGTCGGTAACAATATATTTCTCTTTTAAAATTCCTATACTTACAATTAGTTAAATACATTGTATATCATACCAGTCATATGTAATACGATAAAAATATTAGGGGTGATGTTCCAGACACACATATGTGATTTTAGTAGTTCTAATATTATATTTAGGTAGAAAGTCTAATTTTGTATGTTTAGGTACCTACACAAATTACCATATCAAAGGGTAACATCATATTGATTATTAAATTTGTTTCTATAGTACATAGTTTGATTCATAAAAAGGATTTTATATGTGAATAAACAGAAAACATATGTAACTCATACGTTATCGTATAATATAATTATCAATTGAAGACCCATACCCTGTGTTGACCTACTTTGTTTCATGAAATTGAATTATTTATTCTCTGTCGTTACAAGCGTCCTACATACTCTGAGTATGTACAGTGTATTATTGAAGCAGCACTATCGAATACCTAAATGACTATTTGCATTACAATATTTCTTAGAAATTTATAAATATGTGTACAGAGCTTAAATACTAATATTAATTTTATATGTAGTAGTAGTTAGATTTTAACAATGATGAAGATATTTTTTTGTTATTTTTTTATTATCATAGTTACTAAAAAAAAATATATACATTATGTTCAAAATTCTAAAGCAAAATTTTCTTAGCGCTTCATTTTTGGATTAAATGCATTTAAAATTGCTATCCCAGAAATGTATAAAATACTAGCTTTTTTTCGGCTCCTAAAAACAAATAAATAGATCACTTCTATATATATTGCGTATCAGGATGAAATATACACTAGATTTTAAATTAGACCTTCAGGAACACAACTGTGAAAACCGTATCCAATTTAGTTAAATAATTCTTACGTGATTCCAGAACGAACATTTCAGACAAATAAAAAATCCTTAAATATATTTTTTGTCTTCTATTGCTCTTAAGACTCGTTATATTTATTTTTATTCTTTATTGTACACAAACTGTACTCGTAATTGTATCAGATAAACAAACATAATATTGCACAAAGATGAGCTTATCTCTAAAAGTGATTTATTCCAGCAAACCCAATTTTCTTAAATATCTCTAATGTATAGACATCGTTAGTTACAATTTATATATAAATAAGATTAAGAATATTATATCTTGTCTATCGCATCTCTTACACTGTGATCTTTTATATATCGATGCAATATTGAAGCATTAGTATAGAATTCCACAAACCTCTGTAGGTATCAGACTTTATTATTTAATGAAACATGGTTTACATGAAAATTCCCAGTAGCAATTACATACCAGAGCTTAAAACTTAAATATGACTCTTTTAATATTACATAATATGTACTTTTATGAATTATACTCGTATATTTTCCTGTATTTTTCGACTTTTGTAAACTATCGTCCTTCTAAACTAGAGAGGATAGACATCATTTGAGTTTGCATGCTTCACTTTAAACCACGTCTTTATTTAGTCAAGTGACAAAAAAATATTTATAAGTGCTTGTTTTTTTTTTAAATTACTAAGGTGAGCACACATTTCACCTGATTATCGTAGCCTATTATTAAGTGCAGCGAAACGCTAGAGGTGATGCATGCACGCGTCGGAAAAAAAATTAATGTACGAGTATAATAGTCACATGAGTACATATATCTAACTTATCTATACATTATTACTTGGAAATACTACATCTCATTCTTTAAAAATGACAGTTTATTAAGAGTACCACCGCTGTTATTTAGCGTTTACGTGTATTTTATAGAATTATTAATAATTTTATAAAATACTTATATAATTTTATATAATAATTTTAATTGTTATTCTTAGTTACATAGATTTTGCTGCCTCAAAGAAACCTCTTTATGTTTTTTAAATGATTCTGTTCAACATCTATCAGTATTATCTCCTTTCAATAATGAGCAATATCTTGGTAGAAGGTGTAGGTTCTAAGTGAAACATTTCATCAGATCATAAATCATTGGTGCAGTCAGCAAAACACATAGAAGGTAGCAAAGTCTCTAATCAAAGGGCTAGATCTGGCTTGTGATTTTGGAATCATTGAAAATTCTTATAGCTCATTGTTGTATTATCGTTTCAGGTAAGAGTTTCATGGTTCATCACTGAAATTGTCAGAGCCTATAGTCGGACATAGTTGACGAATTCGTTGTTTTTATGATCTTTAGTCAATTTGTAAGTTTAAAATAATGATTCTAACTCATCAATGAATAGGTAACTAGTTTTAGTCCGCGATTAGCTTATATTCTTCTCCATCACATATGTATAGTACGTGCATATGACATTTAATAATGATAATAGTTATGTCGTTAAGCCACTAAGAAATACCAATAAAATTAACTCATTCACATTTATAATATTAGTAAGGATTTGGTTTTTCATGTTTGAGAATATTTTAATTTGAAAATTTCTAAAGGTTTACCCCATATTAACATAGGTTAATTTATTAAATTATTCGGAATAATAAACAATAACATATTAAAAATAGAATCTACAATATTCTCTCAAATCATTTATATATATTATGTTATGATATATTTTGGTATACCAAATTGCTGTTGTAAGTTAAATATACGACGAGCTATGAGAATTATCGATGATCCCAGGCTTACAAGCGGTATTGAACTCTCAAGTCTTAGGAGAGATTTTGCCTCACTCTGTGTATTCTATCGCTTATATAAAAGACTCTGCTCAGAGGAATTGTTCAATATGATGCCCACGGTAACTTTCTACCATCAAATAGCTCGCCATCGATAGGGTGTTTATCCTTATATCTTAGAGCCTAGATGGTCGTGTAGATCGCAGTTTCAGAGATGTTTCCTCCCATGAATACTCAGGTTATGGAATGAGCTGCCTGTCGAAGTTTTTCCATGACTACAGCATGGGGTTCTTCAAAAAAGGAGTAAAGAGGTATCTTTAAGGTTGGCACAGTGCGCTTAATGCCTCTGGTATTGCAAGCGTTCATAAGCTACAGTAACCGCTTATCATCATGTGGGCCGTATGGTTGTATGCCACATTAGTGGTATAAAATAATATGTTACTATTTTACATTTAAAAAACACACCTGCAGAACAAATATGGCGTTACGTGCACATTTCTTTAGATACACAGCACACAATATTTTTATTATCGTTGTTATATATATAAACGTGTTATCAGTTTAAATTAACCATGTCAAAAAAGGCCAATTCACTATCAAATTTAGGCAAGTCATTCATGTTTGCCTCGTTAGAAATTTAATTAGGTTGTTTTTGGTATATGTGTTAAACAGCGCGGCGCATGTGGAATGCTTGCATTTCGGGCTGTATTGGATGTAAATTTGTAGCCAGAGGCAAAGTAATATAAATTCTAAAATGCGATAGGACATAATACTAATATGAAAATTACCGTTTATTATTTTCATTGATTTATAACAGTATTTATAATAAACCATTACTATGATTATATTATACCTAATTAATAATTTTCTACAGGAAATCTTACTATATGTTAAATTCCGAGAAATATAAATCTAAACGTGTCGATAAGACATAAAACTGTAATATATCGCTATGGAAGTAAATAGATATCATCACTGTAAAAAAATAATTCTAATATTTTTAAAAATTTCTAAAACAGAGTTTCTAAATTTATTTAACGCAAGTGATAAATAAAGTACTACTAGATCTGCTATTAGTACATCACATAGTCATACCATAATCTTTGTATGCTTAATAATTCAAAAGTACCTACTACTTGCATGTTGATAACATCTTGACTTGAATAACAGTACTGAGTAAACTGAAAATGTTTATAAATTTATAACTACCTTTCCAGCCTATACACTATCTGAGAGGAAGATTTATATAGGAAAATACACGAGTATTATTTCCACTTAATCTATTAAGTTTTATGATACAAACCAACTCCTTGGTGGTAGAAATAAATGAGACAGAAATGTATATCGCTGTAATGAAAATTTAAACAAATTCTCCCGTTGGTGGTTATAAAAACCTCCAAAATTGAAGTAATATTTTGATAAGAGAAATATTGACATTTAAATCTATATAACCTACCTTGATTGATGATCGCTTAAGTATCCCTGATCTCGGTCTCGAACACGGTCCCTGAGACAAATAAAATGAAGTCATACATAAAAATAATATAATTATTTATATTATATTTAATAATTTTCCTTTACTTATGCTATACAACATTACTTCTTGCCAAATTTTATGATTCTAGGTTAACTAAAAGAACGTTATGGATATCGGTTTCCTTGCAAATATTAAAGTATATTCTATAAACGGCCGAACCTTTTGATTCTGTTTACTTAGAAGTTAGATTTTTTCACAAATTCAAGAGATTACAGATTTAAGTATTTAATGTTAATTTTATCTCAACATGTCTAGGCATTCTTAAGACAAATAGTCTTGATAGACTGACAATAATATGATATCCTAATTCGGGTTCTATTTTTTTTAAGAGTACTGGACCCTAATAACTCAAAACAAAATCTTATATTAAAGTGACATATTATAGACAAATATATTTCTGTTAATCTATATGTACAATTATAGGTATATTTTTATTCCCAAAAGACTACCGACTTTTCAACCATATATTTTGAAAAAAATTGCGAAATTTTAAATATCAATATATATAACTAGTTATCAATTGTCTTCAAAGAAGATTTTTAATTCAATCATATTATTTATATTATTGTTTATATGTATAAAAATTAACCAATAAACACGAAATTAATAAAAAATATCTACTTAAAAATCTATAATTACTATAAGCAGATTCTTACCTGGAATTATGATCACTCAAGTAACCTCGTTCTCTATCCCTTTCCCGTTCTCGCATTAGCTCATTTCGATCACTAAAACAACAAAAGAATTATTATAATACTTACTGCTATAGTATAATACGTATATATTCTATAATGTAATAAGTAACATTTTTAGATTTTCAGATTACCTAGACCTCACAAAAGTATTTATAACTGATAGCACAACTGGTTGTAGAAAACGAATGAAATACAAAGGGTTACAAATTTGCTGAAGAAAAGATAAAATGTGTAGTTGGCCAATCGCTGTGTTTTTTTTTTTTTTATAATTAACTCTCTACAGACTACAGGTCAATCAATTTACAAATAGATATTTAATGTTCTTTTTAAATTGATGACAGCAATTTGTTACTTTTTCACAAAAATAGTGGTTCCAAACAGTTTTGTTCGAAATTATGTATTCGGAAAATATTGTTTACATCGTCTATCGTGTCAAATATATTATGGCGGAGTTCCTTACTATAGATACTACTCTACTATTATTAGTTCATGCTTAACTTTGGCTACAGTGATCAGATTAGGACAATTTTTTATCTAAATAGGAGAAATTGCAAATAAGTATTAATTTACCTGTAATAACCATCACGATCGGATCGTGCACTAAGTTGTCTTTCTACGCCCAATCGATGTGGTAAGGGTAGAGTTGATGATCTACTGCCTCCGCCTGAGCATTGTGATGCTGGTCCTGTTCGTTCAATATAACAATATTATAATAAATACATAAATTACATATACACATATTTACTATAACAAAACACCATAATGATTATTTAAAAAAATATACATAGGTACGTATATATGGGAATATAAAACAGATAATTCTTCTATATAATATAATAAGTATCTATATATGAAACCGTTATAAATAAAATTAATAGATAGATAATATGAAAATAAAAACTGCAAAATTAATATGACGATAATGAATTCGAATTGTTTTAATAGAAATTTCATTAGATATTGTATGAAACTGATAACCATCAGATAGTTTACCGTGATTGTCACTTTTCCTACTTAAACTCAGTGATAGTAAAAAAATTTTATTGTAGATTCAAATCACTATCACAAATATCTAAGAGATCAAAGACTTTTTGATTGTTACACGATGTACAAGGTTTAGTATGCAATTTTTAGATATAATCACTACTCTTTTATGATTTCACCTTAATAATTATTATTATGTTATCCGATGTTATAAAAATAAGACTGGAAAGATATATCCAAAAATTGGAACAAAATTGAATAAAGCAGTGCCAGAACTGCAAAAAAGAATGTGTCAGCGTTAATACAAATAACTTCTATATCTGACACGCTCTTGGACGGTTTATTAGTTTTTACATACTCTAAAGACTTGACAAGCTGACGCTTCTTTGATAAAAATATTATAGAACTCTATTTTTAGAAAATATTGTAATATGTATTCATCTCATAGTTGTATAAAAAACAGTGCTATTGTAGTAGTGTTATGAATTTAGATGATATTTCCTAGAGATCAACAAATTAAGGCATTTATTTTTAAACCTAAAAGAAATTATTTTTTTATAATTATGTGCGTGAGTTTTTTATAGTAGCACGACATGCTAAGCAAACATAGTGACAATATAATCTATGAATATGATCAACCAAAAAGAAAATTATTTACTCTCAACGGTTGACCGCAATATACTGGCTCTAATAATTTTATTTATTTTTTCCATAAAGAGAATATTCTATCTATATATTTTCATACCAGGCCCTCTAGAGAAGTGGGAAGCGAATTCGTCGATGGAATTGACATCGCTAGCGAGTCCGTGAAATAGAATGAGATAGCAACGTCGGGTGACTTATTGCAACTCACGGACTAGCTAGTGATGTCGATTCCATCGACGAATTCGCTTGCCACTTGTCTAGAGACCCTGGTCCGTTATAAAATACACGGAGAGTTCAAAATTAAGAATAATAATAATGAATGAAACGAAATGGAAGATACTCATAATATTCTGTTTACCTAAAGCATGTTCATATATCTATTCAAATTACGTCCAGTTTGATGTTAGAATCAATGGAAAATTATTCACCATCATACAAAATAGTTATTTCTAAATAATATAATTTATCCTTTATTTATTAAGTTGTATTACATATATTGAGATGAACTTAACTGACCACGTGTCAGTCGAATATAGCTAGTTAGATATCTTTGTTTTTGTTGATTACTTTATACTTATATATGACTATGATTATATATTACATATAGTAGTAGTAATTGATTATTATCAATTAAATATAATCATAATAGTATTAAGCAACAATACATCTCATAAATACGCAGCAGGGAAGGTGTGAATTATCCCTAACCAGGAAGTATTAATAATATTAGAATTGTATCCGAAATTCAGCAAATATTGTCATCATTCATAATCTAGCATTAATTTAAAAAGTTATATTCTAAAAATGTATCCCATTTACTATTATAAATTATAATAGACGAGATTGCAAAGAGTAGTTCACATAAATATAATATTTTAACTGAACACGTAAAATAGAACTATATGAAGACAATAATTTATGAAATGGTATTACTTTACAGCTACTTTACAGCTTTGTACTGTTTTGAAATTAAAAGTTACAAAAAGTGAACTTATAAACATATAGGCATAGTTTCATTAAATATATTTGCTGCTTTCAAATAATACAATTAAAAGTAACGTGAACACCCACACAACAATAAACAAAACATATTTATTTACACCATGTATGCCATAACGCTTTATTGTAAATAACAAAGACATGATTTACAACATTTATACCACATTTAATACCTACTATAAACTGCATTGTTTATACAGAATCTATTTTCGAAACTTCATAGATATCACCACTTTCAATATTAATTATAGTATATTTTTATTTTGAAAGGATATTGATATCTAAAAAACTTCCAAATTACTGTGAAACTTGAAAGTAGATATTCAGACATAAACTTTTTAACTTATAGGTATTTGTGTCATCATGTGAGTGTGAAAGAACTAAATTGACATACAGGTTACAAATTAAATATTGTTCAACATAAAATTGATAACAGTGTGAGTAGAAGTTCTATTGCAATCTAAATATATGTAGTTGACGAGAAGAAGAATTAGAACTCCATGAAGTTGATCCAATAATGTACGATGGTATAATATTAATAAATAACTGATGATTTCACCTCTAGCTCTTATTGCAGCCTCCTTAAGGTTTCTCAAAGAGTGTAGAATGGATTCTTGGGTCGGTCCTCAACAAAAGAAAAAACAAAAATAGGATTGAAATTAAGTAGCAAAATACCTAACAATAATATATTTTTGTGTAAATTTTACATTTATCAATAATTTTAAATTAACCACATCTAAGGTTAGGCTGCATATTTTATGTGAGTGATGAATTACAATTATTTGTTAATTATATATATTAGCATGTTATAATTAATTACTCCTATAGAGTCAATAATAATTTTTATATGAAGTTCGATTAATGTGTTCTATTTTCGTTAAGTAATGTCAAATAATTTATTAAAGCAGGTGCAATACTTACGACGCCGAGATGGATAGGGACTTCGTTGATTTGATGGTGGCATGTTGTCATTGTACTCTAAAAAAAAAGGAAATTATTATAGAAATAAATAATTAAATATAAAGGATTATTACCCTAATGAAATTATAATTCACTTAGGGAAGAATAAGACCCATTACCAATGAATATGATGTTTACTTCCCGAACTAATGACAGGAGCAAATATATTGCGTTATTTTTATATAGTTTCATTTTGATTGGATTATAGCAGGGAATTATTGATAATGTTTACATATATGTCTCGCTACATGTCTCTAAGCTGATCTATATTTATTATAATGCCAATATAAAGTCAAGTTTCTATTGAAAAAAATCAATTTAAACATCTTTTTTTCATTTAGCAGTGCTCTTAAACTGAATGCATATCTATTATATGAATAAGGAAGTTGAAGATAAATAGAGAAGCTTTTTACTTGAGTAATATAGTATTATATTATCTGTGGCTTGGATAAGGAGTTTTATCTCATTGATGAGCCGCTACCAAATAGTTGTGCTTGATAACTTGATTACTATATTTTGGTTTAATGAATAAAACATCAAAACAGTAAAATTGACATATTCTATTGAAGTTCTTAGGAAAGGTAACACATAACTGACCTCTCATATGTTATCATTCCTATATATCTCCGATATAATAGACTTTATAGTAATGTTTCCTAATTAACTCTTTTTTTTTATTTAATCATCGACGCGAGTGTTGGAGTATTTAATTCTTCTTTGTAAAAGAACACTCGTTTTGCAACAAAACCAAGAAACCAAAAAAGAAAGTGCATTACAAATTTTTTTTTATACTCTTATTGAATAATTTCATGCTCTTATAAATAATTATTAACTGTTATTATCATACACTATCTTTTATCCGTGACATTGCGACTATGCGTGAATTCTGGAACGTTATTTTTTGCGTGATGTCCAAATAAAAAAAAGTAAGAACTAACAGATGAAAATGTTAGTAATTATTGTTTTATCTTCTATTACTCTTATTATGATCTCTAATATGATTTTTTCTTATATATATCGTATGTACAAACATCATCATCTATATACAGATGACTATGTTACTCTAGTAGTATTTTACGAGTATATCCTATGTAATAAATTATTCTATCTAACACCTAGGTACATTTAATACATAAACTACTCACCTAAATCTTCCATGCTTTGACTCAATAATGCTTCAAAGGTATGAAGACTGTAGCTCTCAGCGTCCATGCCTTTAGCGAGAGTATTCCGCAGATGCATTTCATACTCGAGAAGAAGCCGAGACGTGGGAGAACCAGGTGCTGGGGTCGCGCTTGATTGTGAAGTTTGTCGAGATAAGCAGGGCTTCTAATAAAAAGTAATAACCAATTAGTATTTTATGTATGATAAATTTTCCTGTATATTCAATAGCAAAAAAATCGATTAATGTTTTACTCAGATTATATTTATTAATTTACAAATGGTCTTTAATATTTTACCTTACTTTTAAGGGTCGAATTAATTTAATATTTACATGTATATTTCATTTGATTATATTTTTCATTTATATGCATAACTACTTTGTTTCAATTTTTAAGCGAATTTGAATAAGAGGTTCTTAATTATTTAATATTTTTGGTTGGTATATTTATAATTCTTTATGCAATGTAAAGTTTTATTACGATTGAAATCACTATAACCGAGTGTCACCATTTTTTTCGGTACACATTTTTTTTAAATATACCTATTATCAACGATGTTTCATCAGGTGGACTTTTTATTTAGATCATCATCATCATTTTAGTCATTATCCGTGCACTGCTAGACGCCTCCCCCATTTTTTATAGCAGTCGGCCATAAAAAACAGTCCTGATTCACCTGCATCCACTGACTCCCTGCAATGCATTTCAGGTCGTCACTCCACCTAATTTCATTTACTTTTTTATTGATAACTTTAATTACTAAACTCAATGTAACACTTTAAGAAGAAAATTCAACTGTTCTAGTTATATATAAATGCTTACCCCATGATGATGTCTGCCATCCCTGCGTTGGCAAGGCTCTTGATCGGAGTTTCCATTGGAAGAAGAAGGCGTAGTGGCGTAACATTGATTATCGAACATTACATTATCCGAGGGCGGTGACATGTCCCGCTCACCTCCACCCAACTCCAAGTAGAGCCCGCGCCCCGGATATCCACTTGGAGCAGCACCCACACCCACGCCGCGACTAGGTCAAATTATAAATTATTAGTTTACTATTTACAATAATCAATCTTATGTACTTATATACCAAAGGTACAAAAGTCGCTTGCGTACATCTATCTGACTTGTATTTCTACCGCTAAGTAGAAGTGCTTGCAAATTTATATTTGGAGGGTGGGATATGGTGATAAAATTACAGACTATAGATCGATACGGATGTCCCACTTCTCAAATATAACAACACTTTTTTGTGATGTTCATTGTGCTGTTATTGTCTATTTGTGGCGGATATTGGTTTCCATTAATATTTTCCGTTAGCATGTTTTCCATTAGGCTTTGCTGTTTGCCAATATGTTATAGAAAAAATATAAACGTTACAGTAACGTTATTTTATTATTATCTTTTGGCGTTAAATGGCTCAATCAATCGTCATGAAATATAATTATGCGTTTTTGGCAAGACAGAACATAAGTTACATTTCTATTTTGGTCAATATATCCTAGTCTATCCTAGTCAGGACTAGGATATATTGACTTGTTATAAATCAAAATTAAGTAAATATGAAATAGCTCGTGTAACTCAACTTCTAATAATATATTCATGACTATATATTTTTATATTATTTTGAATATTTTTATGTATAGTATTACAAAAAAATTACCATTGCTTAGTAGGTAGGTACTCGAATGTAATACCTGCTACGCTTGGCGTGCTAAACTTATTATGCTATTTCAATAAAATTTTCGAGCGACTTTAGAACGAAGAAGTTTCTTATCTTAATTCATCTGTACCTGCACGTTACGTATTATTATATAATTGACCAAGACATCGCCAAATTTCGAACCGCCTTAGATTGGAATTTAAATTGAAACTGTTAATTTTGTAGAGTAAGATATTAAACTAGAGTATTTTCGTACTTCGGTTACATGGTGCATGCAAAATAATAAAACCAGTTTATTACTTATAATACAGAAAAAAAGTAGGTACTGGTAAAAAAAGTACTGGCAAAATACACATTAGGTACAGGCTGAATAACCTACGATAGTGAATTATCCGCAATACAACATCGCTTTTGTAGTACTCGCTTATGTGCAAAATATTCTTGAGTCGATCTTAGTTAGTTATCGATATTTTTAATAATGACTTAATGCATTTTATTAAACTTATTAATAGTATAGATTAATAATTAAGTCTAACTAAGTCTGATATAGATTAATAATTAAATCACTAATAACATGATCCTTATATTAGTATAAATAATCTGTGAGGGCTGTATATGCCTCTAATTAATATATTCATCTAGCCTTAAGCTTACTTATAGCATTGTACCTATTCTGTTTAATTATTGTGAACATATTGTTGGTGTATCTTATATAAATAAATAAATATTAAGATTATTAATGTAAGTTATAGATACCGTTGTGAACTCTGTCTACTGCTGTTGTTGTTGACCACATGTGAATAATGTCCATGGTGTGCATGCTGCGGGTGACGGTGGCCATGCGAACCGCAAGATGGCGGGCATGCAGCCGCGCCACCGTACCTGCGGCGACCCATCTCGGGAGATGTCACTGGACTCTCGGTAGAAGGCATCGGTTTTAACATACGCTTCAAAGTACTGGAATCTATAATTAAAAAATTAATACATTGTAGGTATCTTCTAATGCTGAGATATTTAAATAGGCTGCAGTAATGAATTAAATATGTAATGATTCCTAGTGCTTTTGGTATCCCATTATAAATTATGACTAAATTATATTAAACAAAATATCCATCTCCAAATATTTGCCCTTTCATTGTTATTTTTTTTTGTCATGATATAATAATAAAAAATAATATCGAAGATTATTTCTTTACCTAGTTTTAAACTAGGATATCATATCTAGAGAAACTAGTCACTGAACATCTATGAAATAATTTTAAAAAGTTTATAAGTACATTGGTTCGGTTAGATTTACGGTCACGAGTCATATCCACATATGGGTGATCACATTCTTCGTTAGTTATTCTTGTTTACACCCATTACAGGTAAGCTAGGGTGCACGATGCACTATTGAATGTAGATATTGCCATAAGAAATGATTCTACCTGACTCATTTAATTTCATTGACTCCCAGCAAAACATTTATAATCGTAGCTCTAATCTAATCTAATGGAGCACTCGTCACATATTGCATTTGTTTTTACCAGGTAATCAATCCAAAGCTTTTCATTTCTTGGCGTGTCGGTTTGCAAGCAATGTTGCCGGCCCATAGTCAGTTTAGTTTGCTGATTTTACAACCTTATCGGGTATATTTATTCTTCTACAGATGTCTTTACTTCAGTTTTAATGATCTTTCTATACTTTAAGCCTTTTTTGTAATTAATATCAACGAGAACTTACCCATATTCATGTCTTCAGTGCTTTTAGATTTAGTGCGCCGTGAACCGGATGTGTTGTTGTTGATAACGTTATGATGATGCGTCGAATGTCGATCTGATTCACGTGACTGAAAGACAAAAAATAATATTCACTTTAAATCATATTCAGTTCAAGATCATAGTTGCACTCGATTATGAGTTATTAGTAGGCTTAACCGAGTGTTATCTATCAAGTTAATAGGTATCAATAACAGTCAAGCGTACAATATAAAACAAAGTACTCGAAGTGGTGTTTCTGAACATATTCAACACTGGTACCTTCAAAAAGAACACTAATACAGAATGTATAAAAGTCGGCTATGCATCAAAAACTTCTCTGTTTAGTATCAATAGGTTGTGGTAACTACTTCCTATCAGATAAGTCGCATGCTCGTTTACTTCCTTTCCCCATAAAAAATCAATTAATAAAATCAGTCTAACCGATTCGTTGCCATCACCATAGTCGACACTTTTTGGCATATGTTGCAAATGTTCTTTTCCAGGTCTTGTCGAAGTTGCAGAAGACTTGGTTGATGTTAGTGTACCACCAGCTTGTACCCCTTCTGACTTCAAGTCTTGACTGTGCTGAGATGCATTTCCAGTTACTCCACCCGCTTGATTGTCATCGTTAATCTTTAACAGAATTGTTAGTTGTAATAATCTTTTTGATGAAATGATTCATTAGGACTCATGACTGACTATGCTCTGACTACACGCTGAGATCTACGTGATAAAATTATTATCACTTATAGATATCATTATTATGGTTACTCACATTAGTATTATGTGTACCAACTGAGGCAGTAACAGTTTTGGGGGCAGTGGATGTATTTGTCGTCATGGTTGAAGTCTCCTGTGATTTCGGAGGACGACTTGGTGGTTGGGACTCCGTTTGGCGTGCGGCCGCTGAAAATAATATCGTAATATTGTTTACTTTTTCTAATGCTCTATGTCAATAACATAATAGTATAAATAATATGTGGAATATTCAATTGACGGTAATAAAAATTAGTATTCAAATTGTGAATAAATACAGGACTATTTATAAAGTTCAGTTGATCACTAACAACGGAGAAAGTTATTCCGTTTTAAAACATTCTAAATTATTGTTCTAATTAAAAACTATAAAATATTTTTGCACACCTGTTTCGTAAATAGATAGTTTCTAAATAAAGCATTAAACAATAGAACTATCCACTATAAATCCTATATCACTATAAAGCTGGTTATTTACTAATGAAATGATAGAACGCAAACGCGACATATTCCTTTTCCCACTTGATTCAGGGAAATGATACTATTAAAAGCTCACGCTTAGGCGGCGCCTGGTGTGCTGGTTGTGAATTGGTGACGTTGTCGTAAAGCGATGTGGATGAGGTGGCAGCGGCGACTTTGTCTGTCCGGCCTGTGGCGCCGCCGGCAGCGCCCGCCTCGGTCTCGATAGCACGAGTCGTAGTACGTGGCAGAGTAGACGAGCCTGATGCGGGCGGACGTGAAAAAGCTTTAATGTTAAACTACCTAATAATGTATTAAACTTAGATATTTTTCATTACTAAAGATAATAAATGTACAATAGCCTTATTGTACATTATTTTTGACATATAGAGTGTTTAAAAGGCAAAACTACCAAAATTAAATCTGATCAGACGGTTGGAATTATTGGTATGAATGTAAAGTTACTATTTCAGTAATAAAAGAATATAATTATCTTAGTTTAGATGTACTATTAAATACGGTTTAATTAAATGAAAGCGTATTTGCATTGAAGCGATATAGATATTTTTAACCAGAATATTAATCTAGCCGTCACTAGGTATGCATCTAACATTTGTAATAATTATTACTGTACCTATACCTATTTACAGTAAATTGAGTACTTACGATATCGGGGATCTTGAGCTCTCAATCGTGCATATTGTTCTTGAGTCATACACGTACACTGTGGCTCACGACCGTACGTCAAACTACGAGATATGAAATTTTTACTTTAAAGCTATTAAATTACATTTATAAAAATTTAATTAATTTTGAGCTTCCATTACCTTGATCTGTTTGGACTTGCAGGAGTAGAGAGTGGTTTTCGTTTGGCTTTAAATTTCTGCTTGTTACCCGGTGGCTCCAGTTTGAGGCTGTAGCTTGAAGATGCCTTACGTGAGAATTTGAATGACGGTGACTAAAATCATGAAATGATACAATAAATCATCTTATCTAATTTTTTTTCTACTTGGTATAACTGTTTTAATCCTACGAATATTATGAATGTGAAAATTTGAATGTTTGTTATACAATTACGCTAAAACAGCTGTTCAGAATTGAATGAAATTTGGTACGCAAGTAGGTTATATCCTAAATTGGCACATATGATACTTTTTGTACTAATTCAGGCGAACAAGACTACGGGATACAGCTAGTATAAAATAAATTTATATATAGATTCATGTGGAAAAGACAAAGGCGAAACCGTGGTCAACAAGTAGTAAGTTATAATTATATTCCACAAAGAAATCAGTTGTGATGATATTGGTATGAAATCAACACAGGAGTAAAACATGGTAGCATATCACATAAACTGCAGCAGTTGCAAGTATAAACCTTTTTTACTGTTATTAGCTAGTTTATACCACTTTCTACTGACTAATATATCCTATTTTTGCAATTGATATTTATTTTAGATTCTTTCTAATTTCGTTACTTGATTAGAATTTATCATCATCATTTCAGCCAATATTCGTCCACTGCTGCACATAGGCCTCCCTTATAGACCGCCATACGTTAAGCTACATGCATCCACTGACTTCCTGCAATGCATTTGAGATCGTCACTCCATCTAGTGGGGGGTTGTCCTACACTGTGTTTGCCCGTACACCTTCGCCACTTAAGAACCTTTCTTCCCCATCGGTTGTCAGTTCTTCCAGCTATGTGACTAGCCCATTGTCATTTCAGCTTTTATCCTTCGGACTATGTCGGCTATTTTGGTTTTTTTGCGGATATCCTCATTTCGAATTCTATCACGCAAAGAAACTCCGAGCATAGCCCTCTCTATAGCCTGCTGAGTAATTTGAAGCTTTTGCATACGAGCAATCGTGTAGGACCATGTATCGGTTCCATAAGTCATTACTTGGTTAAAGACCTTTGTATTCAAACTTTAATGAATTTTGGATGAAAAAGATATAATTATTGATTAGAATAATTTTGTTTTATTCTGCTACTGTTAGCATGTGTGTGACTGCCAACACTCGAAGATTGGCCGTCACTATTACTATCAGAAGTTCTACAATCTTCCATATTAGTGATCAGTTTCTAAGTGCCATTCTGTTTACGCACGTTTTGCGACACGTGTTTCTTTCTAATTTATTTTCTCTGTTTCCTAATTAATACCAGAGAGGAACTTTGAAAAAAGTCATCTGCATAGATGCATCTGTCTTACACGTGTTTCTGACGTGAAGTAGCTGTACTTATATGGCTGTGTTTTGGTTCAAAGGTACTCATGCTCTGTACCCTATGTATCTTGTAGGAAATTAAGAAATTATGACACCTTAGTCCTCAGAAATTGCAACTGAGAGATACCATGGGTATCACAGTTCTGTGATGTTTATATCTATAAGCGACAGTTACTACTTTCCATCAGGTGTGCTGCCAGGTTATATGCCATTCTAAGTATTATAAAAAAAATTACTTACAGACGAACATATAGTTTTTTAAAAGGGTTTAGAATGTCAAACGAGCTTAAACGAGCCTACCTGATGTGTATTCATCACCTACAGACACGACTAGCACCATAGATATCTATGGAAACAGTATGATGTCAATATACCATAGCTTTCTTCAGAATTAGTTTCTTACAAAATTACATATTACACAATTTTCTAGCAATATGTTTTATTTATATTTATATTTTTAAATTGCATGGGCAATAATCAGACAATATATGGTCTAGATAATGGTAATCCTTTACTATACACAATTTTTTTTCCTATTTAAGAGCTACGCTCTTATCGGTGGAGTTTTTGCTACTCTGTGAATAACAATACTCGTACACAAGAGGCTAATGTTTTAACGAAAAAAATTTGCGCAAATAAATAAGTAAATTTAAGTTTGCAAAAAAAAAATACAATTATCTAAATACTTACGCAGCATTCTCGAAATTGTTTAGCATCGATGGGCGAAGTGAAGTTTAAGCCCCAGGTGTCATTGGTCATCGGATCTTTCCAGTACACGAAGCATTCAGATGCCTGCCCAATCCGAGTGCCTGCAAATTGGAATTATTATAATTTACTAAATTGACAAACTTATTTAGTTTTAACCGCGAACAGGTAAATAATTTTGTATAAAAGTAACTTACTATTTTACTTGCATTGAGGGTTTTCACTCAGTAAATTGAGAAAATAATTATTTATCATCATATCAGCCGTTAACTATACACTGCTGAATATATATAGGGCCCTTTTGCCAGTAGTTGCCACGCTTGGCAGGCGGGTTGGCAACCACACTTAGGCTCTGATAGTATTTTAAAAGGGACGCTACTGCCCATTCCTCGACCATTAAGTCATTACTCAATGATTCAATAATCAACCCTCTTTTCAGGTAAAATATGTATTTAAACAATAATTTAAAAAACTGACTATAATCAAAATATTTTTTTTATTTTCTCTTTCATTCTTTTAGAGTATAAATTGCCAGAGGAATACGTATCTCTAATTGTAAAATTAAAGACAATAATAACTATCGTGGATCGTGCTGTATTGTAATTATTTATGTCGGCTTTACTCATATTTTAAATTCTGAGATGTCTGAGTAGATTCGAATTCAATAAGAGCCTTTATTCATGAAATAGCCGTGAACCGCGCACATAAAAAAATAACATGAAAATGCAATTTATGAGTATTTTACATTTCTTGTGTATTACAAATATGATTTTCCTTTATATTAAATTTCAACCTACTAAAATAACTGGAAGTATCCTATAAGATTATGTACTAGTTACTATGGAAATATACTCGTGACGTACTATAAATTTATTTAGAAAGTTTAATTAGAGGACAAATGACCCAGTACTTGATTTTGACATAGATAACAAAATAAAATACATTCTAGCTACATCTCATTTAAAATTATACCCGCTACTTAACTGAAAAATGCTTATAAATTATATTCTATTAATATTACAAATTTAAAAATGTATAAAGTATAGTGTTTGTTACTCGATCGTATTTATATGACAGAACGGATTTCAATAAAAATAGTACACTAGTAGGTCATATTCAAAACTAATATATGAAATACGTTTTGTCGTATCGTAGGCGAGAAAAGTCACATGATAAAGTTAATAATTAATAATAAAGTAAATTTTGTTGTCTTTTAAATCGCAGTAGTCTGAACATAAAAGAAGCAACATTCGATAAACACTTTAACCTCTGATAAATATTCTAACGAATCAATTTTTAATTGTATAGGTGTTTAAATAAAAAATCTTGTAACTGTGCATAACAAATAATCTTTTTCACATGTAGTTAAGATACCATGGCATGAATAAATTAGCCTACGTCTAATCTTTTTAAATTTCACAAAAATTAAAACCTTCTGCAAATATACTTTATCTGTTTTATCACTTTCCTTCAAATTGGGAATTCAGTGTAAAAGATAGAGACAAAAGAGTTAAATAGCTAAAATAAGTTATTGAGTGGTTTGACGTTTTTATGAATAAAAGGGTTAGAGTCTAAATTCAGTCCCATTTAGACTCATTACGTAAGAACACAGCTCTTTAAAAATAATGCATATCGTCCTCTTTTGATTTATATACAAATACCAATTTAGACTGTATAATAGTCTGAGTCTATTATAATTAAGTTTAATTAAACATTATTGGGTATAAAACTTTAATTAGGATTTTCCATTTATTATTCCATGTCATTGGATGTCCTCTCTATTAATCTGTCCGATTGTGGAGTAAGGGCATACGGGTACGCAACCCCGGCCTCCATAGCTACTACAGTTACAAAACCTATGTCCTCTCCGTAGCTGTAGTATCCCCCATTTTTCCTATAGTTCCTTTCCACTTATCACCTCCTTTCCTTATAACCTATTCCTCTCCCAATGTAACCTATTTCCTTTCCCTATCCGATGTTAAGAAGAGCAGTTCTTTTTCAAAATGATAAGAGAAATTAAAACGCAACTACCCCAGGAGGGTACCGGCACTGCCGGAGAATCCGTCCCTGAGTGCAACTCAGGCAGTCCCATCGTATCTGGGGGGACAAATTTCTCATCGACGGCGATGCGTTATGCCACGGGTCACGTCATGTCTCCCCTGTTTCCCCAAATGGCAAAAAGAGGGCAAAGGAATGCCAAATTGCAACGATGAATGTTTGTGGAGGTATGGATAGTAAAATAGACGAAGTATGTGAGATGATGAGTGAAAGAAGAATTGATGTATTAGGAGTAAGTGAAACAAAAAAGAAAGGCTGCTCTATTACTACTTATGACCGATATACTGGGTACTGGTCCGGAGTTAATGACTCTGAAACTGAGAGAAGTATGATTGATTTTGTAATTGTGGATGAACGATTGAGAGCGAAAGTGAAGGATACAAGAGTCTATCGTGGTACGAATGTCGGAACTGATCACTTTTTGGTGATATCGAGAATAGGTGGCTTATTCAATAAATGGCGACATCGTCCACGTGTTCGTATGTCAGAAATAGAAAGAGTAAGAGTAGAGAGACTGACAGAAGAACAGGTTCGAAATCAGTATCAAGAAAGATTGAATGAAAGATTTAGAGAGCTACTGAAGAAAGATAACTATGAGATAGAAGAATTTTGGAAGGAATTTAAATGCGGAATCTTTGATATAGCTACTCAAGTTTGTGGTGTAAGTAAGAGGAAGGATGTTAAGATGAGAATGAATGTATGGTGGGATGGCGAAGTGAAAGAAATGGTGACTCTAAAGAAAAAGGCATGGATGGATTTGTTAGCTACCAGAGCTAATAAGAGAATGCAAGGTAATGTAAGTGACATTGAAAAAATTGCAAAAGAGAAGTATGATGTAATGAAAAAGAAAGTTAAAGAATTAGTAAGCAAAAAGAAAGAGGAATGTAAGGATGAGTATGAAAGGAAATTCTCTAGAAATTTTCGAGCTAATCAAAAGCTTTTCTGGCATTTAGTTCGAACAGCTAGAGGTAAAAAGAGAGATCCGAAAATGGGCGTGATAAGGGATATGGATGGTAATGTTATCACGGAACAAAAGGAAGTCTTATATCATTGGAAGAGATATTTTGAAAGTTTATTTGAACGTGGAAGTGAAAGAAAGAATGTTGAAAATGAAATAATGGACGAAGAAGTTGACAGTGAAAGTGATATAAGTATGGATGAAGTAATGAATGCAATGAAGATTATGAAATTTGGTAAAGCAGCGGGATTTGATAGAATATCTGCCGAAATGCTTAAAGAAGGTGGAGAAATCATTGTAAACCTGCTGTGTCTGCTGTTCAATAAATGTTGGCGGTCCGGTTGTGTTCCAGGTGACTGGAGCAAAGCTGTTATTGTGACACTATATAAAGGCAGCGGGTCACAGCAGGAGTGCAAAAATTTCCGCGGAATAAGCCTTCTTAGTGTTGTAGGCAAATTGTATGCTAGGATTTTGATTAAAAGAGTGATGAATGAGACGGAAAGTAAAATTTGGGATGTGCAAGCAGGGTTTCGAAAGGGTATGGGATGTACGGATCAAGTCTTTTCCTTAAGGTGCATAACAGAGAAAACCTTAGCTCAACATCAGAAGGTTTTCTGCGCCTTCATTGACCTTGAAAAGGCTTATGATAGAGTGGAGAGGAATGAACTGTGGTCAACACTGGCAATGTATGGGGTGAGCAGCCATTTGATACGGGCATTCAAATCTTTATATAAGGATTCAAATGCCTGTGTCAGAATAAATGGAGTCTATACAGACTGGTTTGGCATTGAACGCGGTGTTAGACAGGGCTGTGTAGCGTCTCCTTGGCTGTTCAACCTATTTATGGACAGTTGCTTGACCGATTTGAAAGGATCTAATTGTGGATTCAGGATGAATGAGTCTCTGTTTAAGACTCTTTTATACGCCGACGACCAAGTACTTTTTGCATCGTCGGAGTATGAATTACAACAAATGGTGACTATAATGAATGAAGCGTATGCAAGAAAAGGTATGAAAATAAATGCGAAGAAGACGAAGGTAATGGTTTTTGAGAGGAATGAAAGTTTAACGGCATGCCAGATTATGATAGGAGATGAAAAAGTGGAGCAAGTGAGTGAGTTTCTATATTTAGGTTCTTTGTTTACGAGGGATGGGAAGTGTGAAAGAGATATTGAGAGGAGAGTAAAAGCGGGAAACAGTGTTAACGGTGCATTGCTCTCGATTATGTCAAGTAAAAATGTATCGAGCAAAGCTCGCCTTGCTATAATTCAAGGAGTACTGACACCAACACTCATGTATGGAAGCGAATCGTGGGTATGGCAGAAGAAGCATGAAAGTAAGATAAATGCTGTACAGATGAGAGCTTTGAGAAGTATGTGTGGTATTACTTTAAAAGATAGAGTAAGAAACAGTGTGATTAGAGAGAAGTGTGGACTGAAAGTCGATGTAGTGACCAAAATCGAAAAAGGAATGTTGCGTTGGTTTGGTCATTTGGAGAGGATGGATGAAAGAAGAATTACGAAAGAGATTTATCGAGCAAGAATGAATGGAGATGTCGGTAGGGGCCGCCCTAGACGGACGTATGTCGACCAAATAGGCGACGTGCTGAAGAAGGGCCAAATTAAAAGTACCCGTAACCGACGAGCGTGTATGACAAGATTGATGAATGTGGAAGAAGCGAAAGAGGTTTGTTTGAATCGAAGCATTTGGCGTTCCATTGTTTCTGCCTACCCTAATGGGAGACAGGCGTGACAGATATGTATGTATGTATGTATTCCATGTTTAATTTAAACAGGTCACATGTTCATCAAGAGATACCTATATGGCAGTTGATTTCGTTCAAAGTTACTGTCTGGTATAAATTTAAAACTAGGTTACAGCAGTTGCTGGAGCTACTCGTACCAAATTGCCCTCGTAAAGTGTTTTCTGACGGTGAAAAACTATATTAGGCATCCCTGTTTATTTATTAACTTTTAAATTTAAATTATGAATTTAAAAATTTAAAGAAGGTTTATTTTTAATAATGTAAAGTGTCTGCACCATGTAAAAGTTCATTTCATACATTAGATAGAAAATCAGATTTAACCTTAAATAATATCAATTAACAATAATTTATGGTTCTATAAATTAAAACCAGTAAATGCAAGTTGAACTATGACGCCGAGGGTTCCGTATATAAATAAGAAATATAATATTTATTTGTATTTTTCATACGAAATCAACATAATAATTATTACTATTGATACTACAATTTTTAATTCCTTATTTTGAGCCATAATTATTGTTAAAAAGTGGGCACATAACAAAATTTATTTTTTGAAGATTTTTTCTATAATTATTAAAAAACGGTAATACTCACATACATTTTTATAAACTTTGAATATTTTAGATCTTTCGTTTTAAAAACTTCTTTTGTATCATTTTAATACGGAAGCCTAAAAACTGACTTCAGTATTAATATTTGCATATAATTTTTTTATGATAACCAAAATAAACCTCAGTTGTACATTAAATACAACTACTTTACATTTCTGGATTCAACAATAAAAAATTAGTTCTTCCTTGAAATCAATTTAAAAACCTACCAGGCTGCAATAGTCGTACGTCGAGGATCTTGTCGACTTGCGAATTGTATGCGGTAATGTGAAAAACGCATTCTGGAGAGTCCTGAATGCAAGCGATGTTAACTGGTACCAGGTCCTCGGATACTTGCTGCCACTTCACTGTGCCCGCGCCGCTTGCAGACACGTGGAATACCTCTGCCCATAGCCTGTAAAACAAAAACAATTACAAAACTAATATTACAAATAAAAAAACTAGCTCTCACCTGCGATTTTTACGCACACATAAATATATTGATTACCCGCAATATATAATCTCCTCTGTTCTAAATAGATCGTGTATGTCAAGAAATAAAGCATAATATATATATATATATATATATATATATATAATATATATATATATATATATATATATATATATATATATATATATATATATATATATATATATATATTTTATTTTGATACTGCACACAAATGATTAGGAAGAAGTTGTGACTTTTTTAATTTAAATCTCAAATTTGATTAATACGGGACTAATAATTACATTTCAGTATTATTAAATTGCAATAATAGTAACCATTATAATGTATTTGCAAGTAAATTACATAATTTGGAATTAGACTAATATTAGAATAATATAAGATACATTAAAAAATATCTATAGAGTAAACATTAATTAGGTCAGCCATAATATAACAGACTGCAGTTAATTTTACTTTATAGTGAAGGTAGACAGTTGTTGTATAGTATTTTGTATTTCCTAGTTTGCGTGATGCCTTAATAAAGTTAGACGACCACAATGTCCTTCAACTCTACCCACGTATGTTGCGTGTGTGCAGCTAACATGAGAAATTCAATACATTTTTTATTATCACAATAGACTACATTCGACTTTCTAATTAAAAGTAAAATATATGATTTCTTTGATCAAAATATCGTTCTTGTCACTTATAATAGCTTCCACATAAATAAGGCGAAGAGTAAATGAAATTTTTATGAATATTTTTAATTTAAATAAAAAAAAAGGATTATTCCAGTGTACCCACTAAATAGACAGAACATACAAATATTTTATTATAATATTTATCTGATTCAAGCGAAATGCTATTATTGAAGTTACGAAAATCATTATATATGTAGGTTCTTTATTTATCAAGAAAAAACAAACCAGTCATCATTTAGTAATATTTGACGAATGATGAAAAAGATTTTGCAAACGATACTATGATTGCTTCACAATACCATTCTAACGCTAAAACTTCTGATTAGGCAACGCACCGTCCATGTGGATTCGAGTTTGTTTGCTTTATCTATTCTAGTATGTTTACCTCATCTAATATCTGTCATGACAGGGCGAGTTCAGCTAAGATGTTTTGCCACCAAATGCTCTTAGTGTAGTGTAAAGATATGGATGTTAATTCATCAAATCAAAATATAAATTTTAACAAATTATCCAGAATTTTTTATAAGTAGCTATCACAATTCTCTTAAGAAATACCAAAATAAATCAAATTGGATTCAGTACATAGAAATAGCATTTTTATAACTTTGTTTTTATTAGCAGACTATAAGAGGGTTATGTTTCTCATGCGTATCAGTATTCTGTACTTCCTCATAACATCTAGATTATTATTAGAATGGATTTCATCATTCAGATACATAAAAAATAAGTTTGTCCTATCCTTAAAATATCTACGGTTTCGACAGATGAGCTGTAATTGGAATTCTGATGTTTATTAAAAAAATTTAAATCATGCTTCCGATAAATAAATAATACTACAAATCATATTACACAGCGCCATCTAGTCCCAAACATAACAGAACGTGTTTATATACATGTACAACGGAAATTTTATGAATTTATTGTGTTTATCATTTCCGACAATTGCTCCGACTTCATCCGGAAGTCTTCTTCAGGGGGCGTACAGCGCTTTGCATCACAACGTCTCACCTCGTACTGCGGACTGCAGCTCGCAGAATTCATGAAGACGTCAGTGCTGGCAAGAGTCGACGACAGCGATGATAAGAGACAATGATGCTATCGTATATGAGTGGCTGTATCCAGTGCAGTTGTAACTTACAGTGAAGGACTTTAGTCTTCGCAGCTTCTGTCTTCTGAGTTGTTCAACACAGTCTAGCATGCAAAGCTCACTGTATCTTCTTTTAATTCGTGTAGCGATCTCCGACATCCATGGACACTCGTTTTTCAAGCCTGCGAAAAGTCCACCTTTGGTCTCAATTGAAATTAGGACGATGACTAATTTTATTGCTTCACGAATCTTACGTAAAATGAACTCTCTTGCTAAGATTCCGCCCTTTTCAAAACATACGAGTATGTAGTGTATCTCACTAGAAGACAAAGCATACTCCGTCACAACGTCAATTGTTTATGTCCACATTCTTCATAGAGTGAATGTGTTTAACCAGCCTTGTGGATACGTTTCGTCTTGTCTCATCCATGTAACATTTGCCACAATCATACAGGATCATGTAGACACCAGGGACTCCCAAAGGGTCTTTTGTCTTTTGGAGAGCGTAACAACTCCCTGTCTCGTGTTAGGAGATCGTCTATATACACAATGAGCTTTGAGTGCCAGATTGTGCTGGAGATCTCAGGAAACAGAAGCAGCAAAGACAAGAGTCCATCACAGTTAACTACAGTTACACTGGATACAGCCAATCATCTCCTATAGCACCGCCCGCATCGACGTCTTACAAGACACTGTCCGCAATGTGAGGCGAGATGCTGTGTAAAGCGCTGTACACTCCCTGAAGAAGACTTTCGGATAATGTCGAAATAATTATCAGAAACGACAAACACGATAGATTCATAGAATTCCCGTTGTACATGCAGAACGGGAATTTTAATGAAATCATTAAAATGTTAAGTATTAAAAATAATATAAACAGAACTTGTGCTATAGGTATTATATTGGTAAATAAATATTTATATAGAGCTGAGTACAACAAAGCTGTATGCATAATTTAATAATAAAAAAATAAACAAACTATCTATCTTACATATTGGCAATATAGCATATACATAAAGCTGCATTAAAACAATATTTGTTCCGTTTCTTCATATGTCTTATTCAGAAGAAATATGCGTGTCCTATTTTTACATCCAAAACTTGATAAATCATATATAAATGTTTTTAAATTTATTTTGTTATAGAGCTATCTCTATCCTAAGTCCTAAATAGTAAAAGAATCGTTTAATAAATAAACACTTAAAACTGTAAAAAGATTTGTAGAAAATAACCAGACCAATTCAAATTGGCTTATTCTGGAAGAATTGAACCTGTGCCATCGAAAGAAAAAGCAGTGTATTAAACCACTAGACCACCAAAATTGACAATAATTGTTATTTAATACAAAATATTTGGTTTATATTACTTTTAAAGTCTGAAATATACAAAATATACTTTTGTAAGTAATTTCATAGAAAGGATTAAAGAAATGATGCCTCGGAATTGGCTTCACTACTTTATCAGTGTCGAGTATTTTTTTTTTTTATTGATTTCTGAATATTACTTTTATGAAGATTATAAATGTTTTGTAATTTAATATTTTTTTCTCTAATAATTAAATATTAATAAAATGCTAAAATAGAAAAACCTATGATTTACACACGAGTAACATTCAAGTACCGTAAGTACTCGAAACGAAACCTGTATTCGAATATGTGAGTTCTGTATATTGAGTACTTGAGTACCTGATTACCAAATACATATTGTAGTGAGTACTCGAGTCAGCCTGACTCGGCACATCATTAATACCATTATCATGGGGAGATACCTATACCCAAAATGAGACGAATGTAAGATGCATTACACTTATTATCTTTATTATTACTATTAATAATATTAATATTAGGTCATTAATACTTATCAAATATTTATTTACCAGGTCCGCGGCACTTTAACTTCAACTAAAAAAAAACATTTGTATAAAAGCTATGCAACCTGTTAATTTAATTTAAAAATTCAACATTACATAGTAGCTAGATATTTTATGATACCTATTTCCATATTTTGAATAGAGACATATTATAAATATTTATACAACACTATGAGTATGAATATTTGTTTATTTTATTACGTTGTTGCTTCTAGTTGGTTGTATAGATTCATTTTCAAATTTAGTCAATATATTACAATTGGGACTCCTAAATAATGTAATGAATACTTGCTTTATGTGCCATTTACCTCAATAAATGTCCATCTCGACGGCGTGAATTCTGCCACGGGCTGTCCTCATAGCGGTACGCCTTGCGAAGGATGGGCGCGCATGAGCACGACGACAGCTTGTTGCCCATCGTGCGCGTGCCGCACTCGGCGCACTGCACTATGCTGCCTGGTATATCAATATAAATCGTAAATATTATTTTATTATTAAATTATGGTAAATAATAATAATAATTTATTATTTTTATATTATACCTATTTATATTATATCCAAGTTTTATTCATATAATTTTTCACTCAAAACAGCTATGAATAAAATTCAATTACTTTTTAATAAGACACAAAATACAACATGAGATTATTAATATCTTAGAATAGAATAGAATAGAAATCATTTATTCAAATAAACTTACATTGAAGCACTTTTGAAAAGTCATTACATTTTTTTTAATCTACCGCTCGTTCGGAAAGCTGTCTCATCACAAGAAGAACGAGCAAGAAACTTGCGTGTTGCTCTTTTAAATAATTTTATTATTACTTTACATTTTTAAGTTTAATTGTGTGAATACAAACCACCAATTAGCACTAATTCAATTAAATACTCAAAAAGAAAAAATATTGAATACATAACCAACTGGTTAAACAATTAATAAGAGGAAATCAGTCATAGTGATTAGAGCAGACCAGTCCCTACAAGCAGCACCCGTTCACGAGTATGACGGATGAGCCAGCCATCACTGCGCTCGACCATATTTTAGGGAGCCCAATGACCCGGCCCACCACGCCGCCACAAGTCTGGACATTTTAGTGAGCATGACTACTCAAAACACTAGACCACGTCAAAGCTACTCACAATTGCCATCTGATAGTTATAGTATTCACATTTTACATAAGAATGCATGCGGCAATTAATACAAAAAACCGCTACGCTTTCATATTTCTAAAATTAATCAATTAAATCAAGAAAGCAATGAGAAAATAAAATTATAACGTTGTATGCTAATAAACTAATTATTTACTTACAAACATATATATTATGCATACAAGTGAATTTAATTTCTCTCCAACTATCTACCAAACCTAATTTAAAAAAATGAAAATAGATATCTAATATGAAACACAATATTGTATGTAGGAATACACTCAATACGTATAGGTGATACAGGAATATTTCTGCCCTTATCATATTTGTTATTCATTATAAATTATTTGGAGTTGGTGTAATATGTTTTTATCCATATTACCTAAGGGTTTGAATTTTAATTTTACAACTGGCCGCCTAACTGACACCAACCCTCCTTGGGAATGCATTTATTGGTACCGTCCGCCACCTACGGTTTAAAGAAAGAATCAAGGAAAAAGAATGTTGCCTATATTGGGAATGAGCAAAAGAAGTTATTAAAAAAGGAATAAAGGCTTTATCCGAAAAAGAGAAAGAGGGACACTGCAGTTACAGAAGGAATATTGGTCAAAAAGTTTTGAAGGCCTGAATCTTATACTCGTGTGCATTTACTCTAAAACTGGACAGACCACTATAGGAGAATATCCCATGACACAATGTAATTAAATACAATACCATTATTATATGGTATCAAGTAAAATATATTAAAGAAGTTGACACAAGTGTAACATGCAATAAATTTTCAATATAATCTTGTATCAAAAGATATAACAACATAGTCCTCGAGAGTGGCAAGGCATGAGGTCTGTTTAGTGATGGCCATTATATTGTTTATATCCACAGCCTACAGTTTCTGCTTTTTTTTTTTAAAGATGGAGTTATTATGTTTTACTGTTTTATGAAAAAGAGTGACGTTTAAGGCAATTTTTTATTTAATAATAACCCCATCAAAAAAGTAAGCAATTTTTATTCGAGTAGATAATATTTGGGCTATATCATAATTTAAAAAAAATCCCATATTTCTGCTGTCTGATGAATATTATATCAAGACATACCATAGACAAGAATATATAACTAGAGACCAAGATACAAAGTGCATTGGTGAAGACATTTCCTTCATTGGGGTATCAAAGATTTTAAAAGATTGGGATATCATAAGAAAGTAGAATGAAACAGGATAATAATTACCCGCGGTCCCGTGATGTCACCAAGTGCCATCGGAGCGCGACAGCGAATGCCCACGGTTGAGACTCTGCGAGCGTTGCGTACCGTGTCTGTACGGATGTTTCACGACGCCATGCTGCAACACCACACCGTTTTATCTCACTAGCTCTTAAATATATTTCTATCATTTTTCCAGCATTCACTGGACGTTTTTATAATTGGCCATAACACGGCACGGGATGACACATTTTTATCATCACAATACACCCGATAAAACAAAATATTTACAATTGCACAAAGATGTTTTTAATCGTGGCCGCAAAATTAATTTAATGAAACGATAAAAACAATATTTATATAATGAATAGTTACAAAATAATAGTACTAATGTGCTTCACTATCATCTTGAATGTTAAAATTAAATTTAAAATTAGACGAGTATTGTGACAATAAATCGTGCCGTGTCGTGCCATCCTCGTAGTTATGATTACGTTTACGATTCTTTCAGAATCATATAGAGGATTTTCTGTCAAATTAAATGAACGTAAATAAATGGTTTTAGTTATTACTTCATTAAGTTAATATTATCGTAGTGCAAGAATTAATAATTAATTTTGATAAAAGGATGTGTAAAACACTTAAGACACAACAGGTAGAGCTTATATTTAGCAAACTAATATTTATTTTATTACATGCAGATAAAACACAATTGCCATTCCATTCAAATCCATGTCATTTTAAATATAAAGTACTTAGTCATGATAAAAGAAATGGCAGTTAAGTTTTAAAAATTTTTTTAGGTTTTTCATTTAAAAGGTTTTATAGTTAGTGAGGTGATCATGCACTTAAAATATATTTTATACTACCTATGTAATAAAATATCTAATACGAATACAGCAAATCATCTAGTATTTGCACATATTTTATACATTGATCTCTTATAAAATTAACAATAAATAATGTTAATTAATAAATAAGCGATTTTGACAATCGTCTATAGCGTAACTTTTATCTCAAACAGTTCTGCAACTTTGTATTATAGAACAACTAATATTATAAAAGTCATATGATATTATTTCAAGAATTTTTACTATGTAATTCTATAATCTCCTGATTTCTAATTTCATTTCATATTATTTTATTCCATACTATTACCATTTATATGAGCTATTTATTACTACGGATATTTATTAATTAAACCTATCTATATCCATTCGAAATTCCCGTATAAGACACGACACATACTTTAAGATAATATAAACTAAAAGTCCCATAACTTTTTTATAATGGCAGTCGATTAATAACAGTCGATCGATTATTACTATTTTGTAAATTTACCTGAAAATCACTTATTCACTTCCTATCTCTCAAATGTAACAACTGGATAAATTTTTATTAAACTTAACATAGCATGTAAGTGGTAGTATGTATATCGCTCGAAAGCAAATAGAAATTCTTTGTCAGAATTTGAGTGCTTTACAATATTAATGTATCACAGTTACTATCCTATTGTCAATTTTATAATGAAAGTGAATTTCTCGTAAAATTTAATGATTAACTAACATGCTGCATTTTTTTTTCTTTTTGACGTCGCAACTATTTCACTCTTTAATTCTTTAACATATAATATGTTAATACAAGTAATTGATCTAAAGTAAATTAAATATTGAATTTCCTTCCAATAGTTCCATTTCATTTGTTTTGCCATGACGGTTGCAGATATCAAATATCATTTAAGTATCCCGCAAGAAGGTCGTCACTCATTATCATAATTGGTTATTAATATGTACAGTAAGCACAGCAGTTACGTTCCTTTTATTAAGCCCTTAATATTTATTAGTTACTTCTTAGCTGTAAGTTAGCTGAATCAAAATTCAATTACAAAAGTGCCAGTCATTTCCAAGAGTTTCTTCAACGGAACTATGCAAGTTCTCTTGAAATGGGGCCAAATAATTTTGCTTTGGCTCAACATAATACAAAAAACAATCTATGAATTATCCAGACTTTCAAGTATATAAGTAGACAATTTGACATGTAGGTAATTTAGCATTAATGTTTAATACTAAGATAATATAAGAATTTATAGTATGGTCACAAAATTTATACCTCTATAAAAAATATTAAGATGCGTGCGTAGCATAGTATTAAATTTTCGCTTCAATTACTGTATGTATCGTAATCCGATGTCACTTACTGTCTCTGTCTATAGCACGTCGTGGTTGAATATTTAGATATAGTTCAGAAACCATATAAGTTCAAGTATGCTTGTTAAGTTTTTTTTTTATAGATAGGTACTAGGTTATAAGTTACTTAACTATAGGTATTTCTCATTTCAAATTGGACATAAATTATAAATTGAGTTAATTGCTGTCTTTTTAAAAACAATGTTATTACATTCATATTAGAAGAAACATCATGTTTTCTCCTAATCACTATTAAAAATACCTATACAATTGCTGTAATTATGAGTATATATCTTACCACAACTTGTCATAGAGATCCCTTCTATACTAAATATGTACATTATATTATATTAGGGTTGATGACCCTTTATTAGCTATTTTATCTTGTAACTTATATTGTTTTACAACTAATATGTATAATATGGGTTAAGCAGCCAGTTATGATTTAAATTTAAAAGTTATAAATGCTGCACAAAATTAACATAAGTTTGTTGTAATCATGTCTCATTCTTTCTATTAACATATGCAGTGATTACCTGTGCCACTCTCTCATTTACGTGTCGTGTAATGTTATTATAAATGTGCAGACGTTATTGTTTACATTAAACCATGTGTGTTGAAAATAAATCAACGTTATCGTGTAATGTAATATCATCTCCTGTATAGATTATATCTAGTCATAGAGTCATAAGTAGATATATTATGTGGTACGTAATCTGTAGACAAATCAGTTCTATGCGCAGTAGATAAGTACATTGCACAATACAAATAAGAATGTTTTGTACTTTAATTTATACAGTGCCTCTATATACACATATAAATATCATAAACATTGCTCAATATTTAATAATGTAACCTATATGAATTTTAAGCTTTATTTTAATATTTTTATTTAAACAAAATTGTGAACATGCATAATATTTTTACTTGACACAACTTTACTGTGCATGAAACTCTATTATAATTTCATATAGTATTGATTAGTTTGTTATTTAATGGCACAATATGACCATAATACAGACATTCACGAGGAGGGAGGGGGGTACAAACACTCCATGTGCAAATTAATTTAAAGGTACTACGAACCTCGAAATTGTTCCAATTTTGCGCAGAAAATTTAGCAGCCTCCACGCTCTCTTTAGCACCCATGTTTATGAAGTTGTGAAATCACTCAAATGAACTATGGAAATTCTTTTTTGAATGTGTATTTTCTTATTTCGTGACACTAGTGTGCACTACAACTGTTCTCTCTGATGAGAGTAATGTTAATAATTATTTAAATACCTCTATCGTCGGTCGTTCGCAAAGTTAAAAATTCACAGCGTTGAATAGTAAATGAGGGGTCGTATATGTTGCAACGAGCGAGCGCACACGGCACTGAGATGGTGGCAGTGGCGTTGGCGGTGGCGGTGACGGTGGTGGCGCAAGGGCGGCGCGGGTGCAGGCGCGGCGTGTAAACACGGCCAGCTGCTGGCCCGGCGCGGAGTCGTCGCAGCCCCGACTGCTCACGCCGCACGCCCGCACGCCCGCACACCTACTATCGAAACCGATCGCCGGACAGCTTCGCGCTGCCTGCGGTTTTCTCTAGCTAACGTCTACCGAGGCGATTTTACTGTTTTCAATTTAATTTATATATCTAAATGCGCAGAATATAATGTGCGATGATACAGCGGGTGAGCGGGGTGTCAGACGACACGGCTTGGCTAAACGTCAGAGCAGACTGGGTCGCGATCCAAGCGTGCGTGGCGGCACTGAGTGCGCACGGTCGCGCCGCCGCGCACCAGCCGCCCGCCGAAAGCCGAGACGCAGCGACGCCCAAATCTAGCGAACGATACGCCGCCACCGGCCAGCGCCCTCCATCTCATCATGAACACATGATACCGGCATCAATTTCGGTTTAAATTCTTTATATTAAAAAATCTTAAATAATTAGTTGTTTCTTGCAGATTAAACGGTACATATATATAAAAAAATCAGGTATAGTTACAGTTCATATCATTAAGATTAAAAAGATCATCAATGGACGTCCGGAACGGTGCGGTGTGGGGCGGGTATTGCGCGCGCACTTTTACCGAGACAACATTCGATTTTGGTCCATGACTGCTGGATGCTTGCTGTGGACCACCGAGAGCTTTAATAGTTCATTCTAGACTATAACAGGGCGCACGAGTGCTTATTAATTTTAATTTACTAGCAGATTCACATATCTTATTTTCATTATAAATGCACATATATTTGTTTTCATAAGTATGTGTTACCTAAGTAGCCTACATTAATCATAATGTGGAAATTAACTGCTGAAATCAATTGTTACCATCATTTCACCTATATGCGCCTCTTGATTTATAACACTGATCTTTATTTCTAATTAATCTTTTTCAATAGCTTTGGTCATATGTTAAGCAACAAAAGTAGGATAGAGTTTTTTACTTTGTTAAAAAGCAAAGAAATAACAAACGACCAAACTCACTTTTTCATTTATAACATCAGTAAGTCTTTTTTGTAAAAATATCTAATAAAGATTAAACTATTTATTAAATAATTTTACAGCAAAAATATATGTCCATTATATATGCTTGCTGCAGATACTCTCTACTATTGATTACTTTAATTATGAAACAAATATTATTATTGAGTAAATCTCTAAGTTAATTAGTTAAGTTAAATTATATCATACACAACTTACAATTTCTTATAAAGTTATTCATATATTCTTGTGTTATATATTAGTTAAAATAATAATAAATATTAAAATATTTTAAATAAATAAAATTTTATTATTCAAACTTTTTATATTTTTATTTACATTTTTGTATTATATAATAGATCCAAAACGACATTTTTAAATTTACTATAAACTAGTTGCATTTTGCTTCCCTATTGAATCTATTTTACATAGCCATCGTATTGTTACTCATATGTTGTCGTCTGTCACTCAATATAAATTATGTACTTTACATGCCGAACTATTCACATTGACATGACTAGGTCAAACACGTAGTTGTGATAAGAGAAGTAACTTTGTATCAACTCTTGCAGCACTGCGAGTAGATCAATTTATGCCATTTTGCTGCACTGCCGCATAGAGTAATTAATAGTACTACCGATTTATGTTTTAAAGAACAAACCGTTAAACAATAAAAATCAATTTAACTTTACTAAAAATAATCCATAGTAATTAATTAAATTAAATGTTCCATCTAAAATCTTAAAAAAAACCATTATGCTATTTTTTATGATACTTAAAATGGCAAATAGGTCAACAACCTACCTCTTGTAACGTGGTAACCGTCGACTATAGATATGAATAGCAACATGAAGGTCGTGAGTGCGATGCTCATAGTAACTCTCATGTGTTCTCATTCCCGAGGACTAAGATTTTATGCCTCCATACCCTGTAATTTGATTAGCATTTCCCACCCTTCAAATCAAAGTACAGCCCTGCAAGCACATCTGCTTTACAGTAGAAACGTTAAGAGAACAGAAGTACCCATGTAGACGACTTTTGTGCAAAACCTCCTTCTTGTAAAGTTATGAAATAATTATTCAGAAATTTTTAATTTAAAAACTTCCTTTTAAGGATATTTTATAGTTATAATATCTTTTTACAACAGAATCTCCATCATCGTTTTCCCTAACCTTTTTTCTAAAATTAAAGTTATAATTTGAAATTACAACGAAATCTTTATTCTAAATACCAATACGAACTAAATTTCGAATAGCTATAGCTCAAAATGATTACAAATTTAATTTGTGATGGTCCATAACACTGTACTTTCACAAAACTATAGAATTAAATTATTAGGTTAACACATTTGTTTAGAGAATTTAGTTTAGTGCCTCAAAATAAGCCCCTATGTAAAAAGAAGAAAAAACTATTACTATTATACTATATAATACTTATATACTATATAATAATATACTATATTATACTTTATGATCATATAAATACACTTACATGAAAATATTACTTACATAATGACAAATATATACCTATCATAAAAACACAAATACATACAAGGTAAATACATTGTAATATCAATAAAATAACGATAGCGACCAAAGTGATAATGATGGTGAACTAATCATTTCTAGATCAAGATTTATTTGATTTACTTATTTTGATTAGAGTTCTATATAATTATATACTATCCTCAAGAGCCTCAAGACTTTCCGGAACTGGGGTACATGCATAAATTATGAAATTGGACGTAGGAAGAAATATATGAAGCCCATGGTTTATATTTTATATTAACCAAATTTAACTTGCACCTCTAAACCAGAAATTTTTGAACATCTCTGTAAATTATTGATGCCCATTAATTCTTCTCTTTCCGCGTCTAGGGAAAGTAAATAATGTTTTGTTTGAGAAATCAGTTCAGGGTACAATAGGACTGATATACCTGAAAAAGGTAAAAGCCCTTAAAATAATATTAAAAAATAAAAAAATAAAAAACTTGCACCTCACGCTGAAGACATAATACGAGTATTAACAGGCTACAACAGTACCATCTGTAGATTATATAAAATATATTATACTATGTTTGTCCCACGATTTTATTCGCGTGACCGGGATATGTTTACTGATCGAGATGAAAAGCCTATATCCTTCTGCATCCCATATAGTATATACGTGTATACCAAATTGCATAGTGATGGTTAAGCTGTAAAGGCACTATAAGGTTTACAACTAGTATAAAGCGACTATAACCCCCTGTGATGAAATTTTCAATAAATTGTCAATTAATTAGAAAATGTACATAATTGATAACAAAGTCTTTAATTAACAAGTCAATTATAATAATATGAAAAACAAGACTTGACACACGTAAGCTTTCATAAGTTGTACTGTGTAAAAAATGCAATAAGAGATTTAGTCAAATATATTTTCAAATCAATGTTTTTGATGTGATCTCTTTAATTGTCTGACTCTCTTTATGTAATAATGTAGATTCCAAACTACTTGTAACTAACTAAATTTAACGATATTTAAAACTAATATAATATATTATTTAACCGAAAATATTTTTTTGCGAAGATATTGTCTTAATTTTTCAACCACAAAGATCAACGTAAATAAAAAAAAGATAACATTACTTCCGTAATATTGTAGCGGCACGATACCAGCATCAAAGACTCTAGACTACATCCACATAAAAAGGTATACTGATACTACACGAATAAATTTGTAGTAAACACAATTAGATGCCACGGTTTGTGATACATGTGGTGCTCCACATATCTTAGTAACTTAGTATTCCAGTAACTTTTACTCTATATACGTAATAAGCTTTCAAACAAATATATTTTATGAAAGATATGCATCATTACAAAATGTAAAACCTGTCAAAGCTTCCATGACAAGTTACATCTAGTGTATTTTCCCACCATGGACTACTTTATTTTATTTTTCAAAGCTCTAGCTAAACATCTTATCATTCCTTTTACAAACTTCTGCAAAGAATATGTAAATATTTAAAGCTCTTAAAATGACCACATACTTTATTATGTTCTCTTCAGGGTTTTGTGTCAAAAAGATACAAAATAACCCTTATGGTGCATGTTTATGTGTCCGTTTGTCACTGTACAACTCAGCCATTCATTCAACCATGTTATTGTTGTCTCAGCAACTAAATACTTATGATGTTTGTAATTAGGAATAATTTTACATATTTTTGACCTATTTGAAATGTATGTGATGTTACAATGAAAATAATTGAAAATATATTTATTTTTATTTTCTTCGCAAGGGGGTTAAAAAAAAGCACGAATATTAAGAAATTAACTTACTAATGTAAGTGGAATATCACATGCTTTCATGTCACGTCTTTTAAAACAAATGGTACCCTTTGATTTCATTTGTTTTATTGATCTTATTTTATGATACATAATTTTCAATTTTAGAAAAAGTGTGATACTATAATACCTTTCCCCTTTATCTTAAAAATTTGTGAAAAGAAAAATTTTAAGTAATAATTAAAAAATTAAAGATAAGTCATATACTCGTACCATATTAACCGTTAACTGTCCACTGCTGAACATAAGTCTCCCCCCTGTTGGAAAGTTTTGTCAGTAATGCAGGTTAGCAACCGCTATTAGGCTTTGATGATGTTTAAAGTGGAACGCTGCTGCTTATTCTTCGACTTCTTTATTTCTTCGATTAAGTTCCCTTAGTTCCCTCTTACGACACCATCAATAATGGTAGTCTTTTCTATGCCAAAACCACACGAAAAATGAAATGAATCCAATGATATTTATATCTTTCCAAATAAGTCATTATTTTTTAAATATTTATTGACTTGACTTTGTAAATGTGCATTCAATACTGGTGCAGTTCAAAATCTAAAAGTTTTATATAAGCAAGCAAAAAGGTATATACTAATAATAATTTTATAAAAATCTTAATTGCAAGATTAACATCAATAATTATATAATGCTAATAATACGAAATTGAGTTAATTAATTAAGTAGAAACATCTAATTGGTTTATGTTGCTCTGGTTGCAATTTGTGATAATTTCATATGTTCGTTTTAAGAATCAAACTTTTCTCTATTGCAAATTATTTCTGTAGTATAGCATCTAATATAATGAACATATTCTAATTTTAAATGATAAATATTTTGCAGCTCTCAAATTTAGATCAGGAATAAACGGAGGTATAAGTGTTTTTTTTCTTTTGTAGTACAGTCGAATGCTGCACAAGTATCCGTAATTCCGCATTTCACTAAGTATATTTAATTTCAACATAACAGCGACACTCCTACTGCTTTATTTCGAATTATATTCAAAATAATCATGATCGAGTCTGTCTCATACATTTTATTTATCAATTTTTTTTTTAATTATTAAACTATTAAGACCTTATCTAACTATTGTTAACTGTTTTTTCGGAGCTAGTGTTTTCCTAATAAATATAAAAACTATTTTATGTGTAGATCCTTAATTTAAATGTTATATAAAGTATATGAATGTCGTGTGTAAATATTGCTAGACTATATTTACGAGTAACCAATCAAGTTCCTTCTCCCGTTGGTATAAATATGTGTGAGATGCAGGTTCGGCTGGCTACTAGTATCGATTTCCGCACGGCTTACCA